ATGAGGCACTTTCATCTCCAACAAACTTTGACAACTTTTTCCATTCGCTGCGCAAACACTGCTTGGCTAATATGCTGCATTATAATGTAATCAGATAATCACAGATGGACTCAATGAAGAGTCAAAGGTGGAGAGAGTTTCTGTTGAAGAGGATGAGTAGCCGAAAATTATCACAGCAGGGTGAGGAGAGCCCGGGATGTTCTGCTTTTTGTATCAAACAGGCGGCAACCTCCGGGTCTGAAAAGTGAAGCCAATGCTGGAGTGGCATACAATTGCATTATTTTGAATGGCCAGCAGGGGGCGTCTCCTCTGGTTGCAAAAAGAAGTCTATGACTCCAGCAGGGCCTCCAGCAGCGAGAAGCCCACCGTGGACAGACCCAGATCCAGCAGCGACCAGCAGCTTCTAACCTAGAGTTAGAGCTCCAGTGGGAGGAGGAGAGCTCATTCAGCAGAAGCATCTCCTCCCCCCCCTTGGCCACAAGCAGAGCTTCTCCTTGCTGCCCCGCTGGGAGCCAACACGGACACCACGCTGCTGGAGGCCCAGGCCGTGTTGCTTGGCCTGCTGGAGGGAAGGGAGGCACAGGAGAACCAGAACCAGGACTGCGCGTAGCAAATTAGAGGTTTTCTAAAGGGAATCTGGTGCTCGGAGACACTGCCACTTTCATTCACACGGGCTGCCAAAATCAACACTAAATGAAAGTTCCTTGTAGTACCTTTAAGTAAACGATGGTCCCATTTGGAGTAAACGATAAAGCAGAGTATGCTTTAGGGCGAGGCCACCACGTGATCGCTACCACGCAGTGGTTTTCGTCTAAACATTTCCCAGTGTGTTTTCAGTTCATGACAGTTGATCGTAACATTTTGGTCGCATTAAAATAGTTTCATACAAAATCCGGTTGTCCTTAGCTCCACCCTCTTGTGTCACTTCTGGTTGCAAAAAACCAAGATGGCGCCGACCACTAAACCAAGATGGCGACGGCCAAATTGCTGAACTCGAACCAATGAGCGACGTCACAGTGACTCCTGGTAGCACGCCTGGTAAAGCGGCGGCCATGCGCTAAGGTTGAGTCCTCACTGCGGCAGCCCGGGTTTGAATCTGTCCCGCGGCCTTTTGCTGCATGTCATCCCCTCTCTCTCTCTCTCTCTCTCCCTTTCCCGACCAAATATAAACCGTAAAGATTATCCCGTTATTGGGCTAAGGACATGATCATCTATATATTGTTCAATTTCAAAATCCAATGTTCTTTAAGATAATAGGGTAAGGGAGCAGAGCACAGGTGACTTAGTGACAATGAACCAATATATATGCATCATGCAAAACCGATCCTTATGCTTCACAAAGGGAGCTCAGCACATTCGCTCGTCACAATTTTGACTGTTATGATAATGCAGACGGGGGAAACTTCTCCTCCTCGCAGTGACATCACACACGCCCCCCCCCCCCCCAAAGGGATAGTCTCACGTGAAGCCGATTGTGAGCCGCCATGTCGATTCTCCAGTGTTTATAATAAAGAAGCTTTCACAGACAATGCCTGGCCCGTTCCCGCTGAAGTGTGAGCGGGTCATCGACTTTGCATTAAATTTGATTTATATCTGAACAGAAGCCAAGTTTCCGTATAATTTCCAGACTAGGGTTCTGTCTCTCCGGCCTTTTTGGATGGCTCTGTGTAAACCGAGAGGCTGATGTTCAAACAACAAGGCAGAGAGCCATAGTGGACTCAGAGCTTTGCCTTGGCCTCCCCGTCAAGTCTCTTGACAGCAAACTGGCACCCTGCTCCAACTAATAAAGTGCACCACCACCCAGATCCTGCAGCGGCTGCATGTGCTGTAGGTCTGCTGAGAGCGTGTGTGGTCAGTTGGAGCGGGACACTCCTGGAAAGTCACGGATGAAAGACATATCGAGCACTAAATCTGCTAAATCCATGATGTGAGTCTCATCCACTCTGTCTCCTCTTCAGATGATGTGCTTACACTTCAGCACATGGAACGATTTAGACACCGATCACAGACGATTATGGCACATCTTGTTAAACCTGCATAATTACTGTCAACGTGTATTCTTACCGTGGCAGCTAAAGGATTGAGGCTCTTTTACTTATTGTCGAAAGAAAATATTTGAGCCAACTGTCACAACTTTTGAAGACAAAAACGTTTCATAAGTTTAATTGATTTAGTATCGTCATAATAGATAACAGGTGAATCTTTACATTTATTTATGACATGTTTAGTGTCATTCATCACATGCTGTCAGCTATTATATCTCAAAACACACACACACCACAGGGGGTGAAGCTGAGTTCCTTATTTATATTAATATTTTGTATTTTGACATTTGCTTTTTTCATCATGTCACCTGCTAACAAGAGTCTGTAGACACTTTTTGATGTCGTGAGTTCATTCGTCAGCTGAAGAGAATATTTGACTTTCTTATAAGGGTTAAAATCTCATCAAGAAATGACAGAAACAAACACTATTTTTAGCATCTTCATCTCACTAATTGACAGTTCCTTTGACATGTGAAAGCCTTGGTTTAAACAATGATAAAGGGACATTTGATTCCGGCAGCAGTGATGAAGCTATTTTCTTTTTTGACACATAAGTTAAATGTTTTGAGTGAGTGACCGACTTTGAGAGGAGACGTTAAGATGGGGAGGTGATTCTTCTGAGTGTTTTGAGAACTACAGAAGCAGCCATGTTTACGTTCATTGTAGACGCTCGAACATTTGAACTCACGTGACTGATCAGCTGTTTCCTGCTTTCGGCGTCTTCTCGGATATTCCGGGATATTTTGCGTAACGTGCGGATCCAGACATGAAACACGGTCAATACTAGCTGAACATGAAACAGTTAAAACAATTCCTCAATTAAAACGAATTATTGAAGACCTCCTTCACTCTTCTCTCGTGGGTTAGACACGTGGAGATGCCGACTTGTTTTGTTTCCGGTTCGTACCTCCTACGTTTCTTCTTCTTTTTCTCTGTGTAGTGGCGGATTTACAGCCATGCTGAGTCTTTATAACACCAACTGGCCAAACTACACTATAGTCGAGTTTATTCGCGTACATTTCCCAGTTGATGGAAACGCGCGTAAATCACTTTTTTTTGCGACGTTTAAAAAGTTAAAATCTGCTTCAGACTTTAAATGCATTGGGTGTGTTCCTTCACTAAAATCAACATGGTTCATTTAAAATTGTGTCCTGTTGCTGTAAATCTTCATAGCGCACTAAATGTGTATTAATCTGCAGCTGAAAATAATCCCCAATAAAACAACCAATTATTCCTATTTGAGTACCGTTTGCATTTAAAGTATTGGGCTGCTGTATATTGGGGACCTGTTTTTTTAAAGATAAACATCTTCAAACGTGCGTTTGCACGACTTAGTTTTTGTTAACCCCGGAAACGAGCATCACTCTGGTTCCCTCGACAAAAAGCCAAATGGCCAATTTTCACTTTTGGATTATTTTAGAAGCTCTGTGTCAAACAGAGTTAATGGAAAATGTTGCTCAGCAAGATACTCTTCACAAATAAACAACTGTTCATGATTTTTGAAGCATTTTTGATGCGTTTCATTGATGCCTCCAAAGCTTTTGATCGTGTTAATCATAGTAAGTTCTTTTTTAAACTGAGCCAAAGAGGTGTCCCCACATACATTGTGAGAATTCTGGCTTACTGGTATGCGCACCAGGCTATGCATGTAAAATGGGGTAAAAGTGTCTCAGCACCATTTGGGGTTAGCAATGGTGTCTGACAAGGGGGAATTTTGTCCCCAATTCTGTTTAATCTGTATATTGATGATCTGTCCAAGCAATTGAAAGCCTGTAATACTGGGTGCATGATTGGAAATACTCTGGTTAATCACATCATGTATGCAGATGATCTGGTGATCTTTAGTCCATCTAGCGCTGGTCTTCAGCAGCTCCTCACTATATGTACTGTGTATGGTGTGGAACATGACATCACACACAACGCCAGTAAGAGTGCTATCCTGATCTGTCGAACTACAGAGGACAAATGTCTTAACTTCCCTGACTTCAAATTGTCTGACAATAATCTTGGTGTCTGTGGTGAAGTAAAATATCTTGGTCATTTTATAACAGAACACATGACCGATGATAACGACATTTCCAGGCAATGTCGTATGATGTATGCACAAGCAAACAGTCTCTCATGCAAGTTTGGTATGTGTACAGATGGAGTGAAGACGTCTCTGTTCAGAGCATATTGTACACCACTCTACACTGCACACTTGTGGTCAAACTACAGAAAAAAGAGCTTACAGAGACTTCAAGTAGCTTACAATGACGCCATGAGAATACTGCTAAAGAGACCGAGATGGAGTAGTGCTAGTGAAATGTTTGTGGCTGCACACGTCAACACTTTCCAAACTGTTTTAAGAAATCTCATGTAGAAATTCATCTGTCGACTGAATGACTCTGAAAATGGGATCATAGTTGTTTTAATCAACATAAGGTTTAGCAGCACATGCTACCAGTCCCAGCTGTGGCGACATTGGTACAGCTGTCTCTTTGTAAGGCATTGCTAGGCCTATGTACTTTTATTGTTTGTGTCTGTCTTTCTATGTATTTGTCTCTATGGACCGCGAGTCTGAAATAAAGTGTATCCATCTATCATGAATGCAATCGGCAGAAGTATAAAGCTAACAATAGGCTATAAACGAATGCCACCACGCGTGAACGTGAGAATACACGAGGCTGTGGAGGCGGACGACTTGGCAAACCAAGTAAATTTAGCAACTGACTTTTACAAGTTTCAAAATTGACGAGATGGTCATTTACTGTTATTTACATTAAAATCTCCGAGGCTTGTGTTAATCATTTCCGTGTTTTAGGACTCATTCCTGCAGCGCCTTCTGTCCCAGATATCGTTAGTTCTCATCTTTTCATGAGATTTGTGGACAGTAATGAAAATATATAAAATACCCTTCATGTATGGATCACAGCAACATTTTTTATGCAAAACATGAAAAAGCAGACAGACCTCTGAGAACAAGAAAAAAATTTCACATTTATTTGATATCAAACAGGAGTTGAATTAAATATCAGCTGATGATGATGATGGTCTCTTACAAAAGAAATAAATTGAACCTAATCAGTGCTGCAACAACTTTTCACACTTTCCAACCATATTATTTTTCTTCTTCTTCTGAATAGTTCAGTTAATAAATTAATTAGTGTCAAAGGATGAAATATGTCTGCAAAAATTGCAATACCGCATTGGCGTGAACACAAGCCTTTAAACTTGACAATTTCTTTCGAAGTAAAATAAATTACACAAGTTTCCAAATCTGTGCATGGCCCGGTGTTAACAAATATACTACTGGCAAAAACTCATCATTCATGAAAGCAAAAGCACTTCACAAGCAGAGATGTGAGCATGATTTCATATGGATCTCTCGAAACTTCTCTCTTTTTTTTTTCATATTCAAACATAATACGAGTCAAGTGTGAGAGGAAAAAGCACATTTCCACCATTTTGATGAACCTTGTCTGAAGAATTGTATTAACATCGACAGGGCTTAACTACTGAATGGTTGCCGTTTCTCTTCTTCTTTTTTTCTTCTTTCTTCATTTTTACACTAGTGGTACAGCAAAATATATTTTCTTTAGCTGTTACTTTGACAACAGTTAAATGTGCAATAGAGAAAATATAAGGCCTGAGTCTGAATTAGTGGTTTCTTAACTTTACAGTCCCGACTGTGCAGTGGAGCCACACTAGTTCTAGTTCTGGACTTCATGACTAAAAAGACCCTGGTTCTGCAAAGTCCCCCAAAGAATATGTCCGGAGTTTCAAAGTTCTTTGCTTGAAGTATTTTTTTTTTTTTTATCCCTTATTCTTCGACAGTACAGTACAACAGAAAAGCCAGATTTGTCTCTGATGCACCGGCCTGTGTGTTATTCTCTGCACCTCTTTCGTCCAACAGCAGAGCTTTCACAGTCCACATTTGTCCGGCCGCCGATGGACGTGTTTTGTGTGTTAATGGGATCTGTGTGCAAAAAAAAAAGTCATTTCTACATTCCTTTTCCCACCCGACAACATTTCACTTCCTGTCCTAACAGGAAGGGCATGTGGAGTGCGGAGCCAGACTCGCCGGCTCTCTTGACATCGACCGAAAGCAGCCATCTGTTGAAACCTGTGCAAACAAAGAGGGCCGGCTCAGAGGCTGGTGATGAGCTGCATTTGTCCGTCGCTGGGCGCCTCTCCTTCCTGTGTGCAGTCTTCGTTGTTGGGTGGGATGATGCAGCCGTCGCTGGTGCCTCGGTTTATGTGGTAGTATGACAGGGGCTGCGGCGCATCGCCGAGCTCAGGCATGCTTTTGTGATACGCGTCCTCGCTCTCGCTTCGAGGCGAGTAGGAGAGCTCCTCCTCCTCCTCCTCCGGGGGGTACGGCGAAGCTGAGGGCGAGGGCGAGTCTCTCAAGTTGGGCATGCTCGTGTAAAGGGAGTCTCTATTGTTGTTGGGTGACTGGGCGCCCACGTCCTCCACTGCAGTGACAATCTCAGAGCCGTGGCCGCCCTGACCCTCCAGGCGCCTGGGGGCCTTCTGGGCGCTGTAGAGCAGGGAGTGAGTCCTCTGGGGCAGGAGGGGGGCCTCCAGCACCTCCTTGTGGTGGGGGTGCAGGAGCAGCTCCAGGGTGGCGTGGCCTCCTCTTCCACTTCCTCTCTGGGGGGATGCCGCCTCGGCGTGATCCGCCACGATGGCATCATCCTCGCTACCGCTGCCGCTCCCGCCCCCCCCACCACCACCACCACCACCTCGGTCCGCCGTCACTCTGGTCTGTGGGGGCAAGGCCCGGTCCTGCTCCCTTGGGTGGGCGCGGCCTTTGGGGGCCCCGCGGGGCCGTAGGTTATTGTGGACAATCTCAGATATGATCATCTTCTCAAAGGCGACATCGTCCAGGTGGAGGCCCCCCAGGTCACCCGGGGCTCTAACGCCCACGGTCTCATAGTCGTCGTCTCGCAGGGAGTAGCTGTTGTTGAAATTGCCATTGAGGGGGAGGGTGTCCATGGCACTGATGTCCCTGCTGTTGCTCAGAGAGTGCTGTCCTGCAACAAAAGGCCAAAAGAGTGCGTGAGAGAGGATTTTTTTTTTGCCTTTGTAGAACAAAACAGTGTCCACTACACCATCCACACACAACTTGATACTGCTCAGGACACTGCACTCTTGTGCTCTTTGATCTCTGGGTTAATTTCAATTCTATGCAAATACTGTACAAGTTTTAAAATTCAAAGGAGAACTCAATCTGCTCTCCAACATGCCCGTCCTCATTATGGCTGAATATCATTAAAGCCAATCTAAAGAGATTATCCTGAACAATATTGGAGAAATGAGAACAAAAGATGACTTTAAAAACTTTAAAAATATAGCACGGCAACACGCTACGACCAGCGAACAACACAGCAGCATACAAAAAGCAACAGGATAGGATGGGAGGATGGGGGGGGGGGTGAAATAAATAAATGAATACAAGCTGATGAGGAAGTGCTGTGACACAAACAATGAATAAAACATTCCACCTGTTTAAAAAGAAGGCAAGACAAAAGAGTAATGTCGAACACAGATGGCCAGCCACCTCTCTGCACTGGGGCCCCACAAGCACAGCAACAACCCCCACACACCACGACACACAGGCACGGTGCAATGACTCACTTTGCCAACACTCACATCAAGTGTGTCTGCTCAGGCTATCTGGCCTAAGAACAGCTGATGTGCAAAAAAAGTAAAAACAGATGCTTTTTTTCAATTGCAGCAGAAACAACAAAATCACTGAAATAAGACCAAAGTGGAAAAAGCTTCAACATCCAGCCTGGATTCAGTAAATCCATGTCTTTGTGTCCTTGCAATTAACTATAATTTAGCCCACGTGATGTGTTGCTCAAATTGTTGTCGGTGGAGAATGACAGCGAAATGATGTGTTTAACCGTTTGAGAGAGCAAAAGGACAAATCAAGGACAACTGAATCCTGGACTCAGCAGGTGAAAGGGTTCAGCAGCAAGCACAGTCTGTATTTTTTAAAAGTCTACAGTAAATCTTTGTGTGAACAATACACACACACACACACACACACACACACACACACACACACACACACAGTGGAGTACTCTAATTTTGTGCAGCCCGATGACTAAGTGCGAGTAGCAGGATGGCGGTGAAGTGCGGCTTGATTTTTTAGGATTCTATTTATTGGGTCCACTGTGAGCCTGTAAGTGAAAGGCTGACATTTTACAGAGTGAGGGGGAAGTCGTCAAAGGCAGAAAGAAAAGAAAAAAAAACACACGGGGAATCTGTATTCTTAGTTTTCAGATGAATGTCTCGGGGGGGGAAAAAAAAAAGCATGATAGCAACTGAAGAAGAAAGCTCTAAAACAACATCAAAGACATTTCTAAAAAAAAAAAAAAGAGTGAATAGAGCACAGAGTGCAGAAGGGCAAAAAACAAAATGAGGTTGGAAGCTTATTAGACACCTCTCTAAATAGACCATACTTCCAAATTTGCATTTGTTTACGCGCAGGCAGTGATTTTCTTGCAGCCAGGTACAGTCTGCCGGGAGAGAGGGGAAACCATGTGAACAGAATTCAAGTGGACACGGCGACAGCTGCACTCTGGGAACCGTTCCAGCAGAGATTCATCCAAGATGTTCTCCTTACCCGTTTTACTGCATCGGTTGAACATCCGCAGAGTGTTACTTAGTATTAATACACTTATAATAGAGGACACGCTCATCCTTTTCCAGGAGCTAAATGTAATGACTATAGCAGGCGAGGTTTTGAAAAAGCTTATGTTGAACTTGACAGTCTCTCTGCGCGCATTTCATACTTGGTTGGTGATCTTCACACCAGGTTTTGACATTTGTGTGTCATGCTGCTGCCTTGTATCCTCAAACTACTTTCCATATGTTGTAACCCCCCCCCCCCCCCCGTTTTTCCCCTCTTCCTATTGCTCCCCCTTTTGATCTAAAAGGGGCAGATTTTGACCGGGGGGGGGAGGGGGGGGGGGGGGGGGGGAGTGTCTCTACAGGTAAAAGAGGTGTTTATTTACGCTGACATTCAAAATGACGTACTAATTAAATATCTCCGTTCTTTATCTGTGCTGCTCCAATGTTAACATGTAATTACTACAATGATTAAGCAGGTAAACATTTGAGGGCAATAAAGCTCAAGCTGTCTGAACACACACACTGACTTCTGCATCCGAGCTGCTCGCCTGCTGCTGAGCTCACAGACAGAAAAAAATAAATAAAAAATAGTCTTTGATTTTCTTTGCAGACATTGTTTGGTCCCAACCCTACTTCATTATCGGGGGGGTGTGAAGTGCTCTCATCGTGCTGTAGGCGAGCTCGCAGCACAAAACAAGACCGCGATGACTGCAGCGGGTTAAAGCTATACATTCCTGCACATCTCCTTGCACACTTTTGCCATACTGCCTGTTTTTCTATATTCTCTTTTATCATCAAATGCCTGGGAATATCTGAGGGCTATGATTCTGCCCGCATTGCGTCATGAGCTTCTGTTTTTTTTCTTCTTCTTCTTCTTTGATTGGGTTTCTTTCGCTCTGCCAGCGAGGAACTAGGTCACCATAAACACCGAGATGATTTAAATCGATGTAATTGGAAGTAAACTAAAGAACAATCTAAACACGTTGTCGAGATTTCCCCCGTGAATAAAGTGTACATGCATAAATGATCCAGACCAACGAGTGAAGCTCATATTCAACAGGAATTCCCATACGACTGCTCGGTAGATAGCGGTGACGTGAGTTTATCTCCTGCGCTTACAAAGGACAAACTGGCTGAGATAAGAACTACCGGAAACACAGAGAAGGTGGGAATGAAGGAGAACAAACTAAATCTAGAGTCATTATTCTCAACGTTTTTGAGGCGTGTTGTGTCAGAGTCACGACCTCAAGATTTTTCATGTTTTAAATAAATCGAACACTTAAAGGAGAGAGTTAAACGAGATGATTAATACTGCTCCCATTTCTGTTTCTTTACTGTGAAGTGACAGCCAGACGCCGGTTAGCTTAGCACAAAGACTGGAAACAGGTAGAAACAGCTAGCCTGGCCACTACGATACTCATTAGACCTTGTTTGTTCAACCCCTACAAAATAACAAAGTGTACAAACGATAATTCGTTATTTCACATGGCTACATGTGCTACGCCTGCATTTCTTTGAGTCTCCGTTGGCTTGTAAGTTTAGATGCAGGTCGGCAGATTTCGTGACATTTGGACACAGCAAGGTTAGCCGTTTCCTCTTGTTTCCAGTCTTAATGCTAAGCTAAGCTAACTGGCTGCTGGCTGTAGCCTTCAATTTAACAGACGGACATGAGAGTGGTATCGATCGTCTTATCTTACTCAAGCCCAGAACACGAATACGTGTATTTTCCAAGCTGTCAAACTTTTGCCTTAAAACAAACACACAACACACACACACACACACACACACACACACACACACACACAAATCAATGTAAGAATACAAGTGGAGGGTGGATGTGCACCTGGGGAGTGAAAGGCTGGTGGAGAGGGGGTGTTGCACACCACCGTTTCTGCCAGCAGGTTGTTATAAGGGTTAGTGTCGTGGGTTCGGAGGAGAGGGTTAGTTAGGAGGTAGTTGCCAGTCATCCCTGAGATAACAGGAAAAGAGAGAGAGAGAGAGAGAGAGAGGGGAAAACACTGTTGAGGAAAACAGAGCTCGAGGTACTGTATGTCATGGTCTGTGGTGGTGTCCACAGAAACAAACACTGACATTCGCTGTCCAAAATCTGACACCGCAAAAGATTTATGACCTCCGATCCGTCTGCCTTCTATTATGGACACAGAGCAGCCATAGAAACGTTGGTCAAAGCAAGACTTTATCCAAACAGTCAGCTGATGTGGCTGACAAACAAAATTATCGCGACAAGTGTTGACCAAAGCATAGCAACACAATCAACTCCAGTTGTTTACGTGAAACAAATCCATCTAAACAAAGTCATCCAGTCGGGACAGTAGACATAACATGTCTAAGTGGCCTTCCATGAATAATACAGTATCCCTATCATCCTGAGCATGCTTGTGTAAATCCTCAAGAATGTAATAACAACCCTCAGTCATTTGGATGGATCGCTGAGAACCTTTGCGCTGGCATGCGTGTTTTAAAAAGAAAAAAAACAAGAAGCAATCTAATTCATAACTACAGCCAAATCTGCTCTGGCACAGTCTGCAGCCTGAGATGCCGGGATCGCTCCCAAAAAGCTGCTCTGACCTCAGCCTGACTTTGCTCATCTCCTCCACCTTCATCCTGACAATCACACAGATGAGTTAGAGAGGCTGCTGCACAGGCACAGTCGCTGCGATCTGAACTCAAGACCTCATCAGTGATATTTTGTGCCACACTAAATATCACACCTCTATATCTGTCTGCTGTTCCTCGCCTTTTAAAGTGCTCCACCTGAGCAGGAAAGTGCAGGAGAAATGCTGTGAACTTTGATACACAGCCAGCATTTAACACAGTTTTATATATATCTATTTTCTTTATTGCTTAGCATAAAGAGAAATGCAACATTAAATCGGGTCTCATCCTGCTCTTTTCCGAGCCACCACAGAGCCATGTAAGCTGCATCCATTGAAGTGTTTATTATGAATTCAGAGCTACATCACAAGGAAAATGGCAGAACAAGAAATGGTTGCTTACCCTGGTTGAGTGTGGAGGTGCTGTTTATGTCTCCCGAGATGAAGGAGGACTCCGACTGCTTCCTCACAGTGTCGTTCCACATCCGCCTTATGCGGCTCTGGGTGGAGAGAAAAGCAGCCATTGATCAGAACTCAACATGGTGCCGCTGTTATTCAAGGCTTCTGGCTCTGCGGATGGAGGAGCTACGTGGGTTTCCGTGACTCTACTCTTGTAAACAAGACTTAAGCTACCCCCTGCTGATGACATGGTCATGCTACGGCGAAAACAAAGCCTTAGCACGCGCTATTGATCCAACCGATACCAAAAATGGATACACCGAGGATCTTACAGCTTGTAATTCGAAGGATCGGCCCACAAAAGCGCTTTTTCTTTTAAGCTAGTTAGAGCAGAAGCCTCTAACAAATTCCCAAAAGTGCTCTTAAGATAGATCTCATAAGGTCTCAATAGAAGAGATCAGAGACAAGTGTGTCCAATTCAACAGGGTTCTTTCTTTTTAAATAAGGTCATGGTAACAGAGAAAATGACATACATTAATGCGGTCTGTCTGACAGCTACACTGTACGGTGTTGTAAAGCACTTTACTCCCATCTCTTGATATATAATCTTGACAGTCTAACAAAGCCTAGCATTGCAAAGTGAAGCCTGAAATGTGACATGAAGTACTGTGCTGATATTTCTACTGAATATTTGTATGAAAGCAACAAGAATCTCTGCTTTAGAGTCTTTACTCGAGGAAGATATGCTTCATGTTTCTTATTGTCTACAAATTCAAAGAGCAGAATCCTCAATACGTTCCAACTTCCCCAGCCTCTCTGCGGCTCGCAGCCAGAAGGCCATTTGTTCCTGAGGACATAAATCTTTAAAGACGGGTTACCAATATATACTTTCATTCTTAAAAAAGGCTCAGTAATTTCCCTTAACACCTGGGCACTGTAGTTTTTAACAAATTGCATAAACAGTAGTAAGTGGTGCATTTATTGGGGACTTTTTTTCAGCTGCAAATTGATCGGTGCTCCTGTGAGTATTTACACCACCAGTGCCAATGTTGGTCATAATGAAGGCACTAATGGAGCCGTTTCACACAGAGGAAGAAGCTGCAGTTCATCAGGTTTTGGCTACAAAGACAAATACTTGTTCGTAGGATTCATTTTTGGTTTTGGTCTTTTAATACGATTTGTTTACTATTAAAAACTAAACAACATCACCAGACTTACTGTTTAAACAAATTAAATAAAAAATAAAAATAAAAAACAGTCCATACAAAATGAAAACTGATTCCACCAACATATATCAACTGGAATCAATTTGGATACAACCTTTTCACACGTTCCTGAACCCCACCACACGTGGGATTCCCGGTGGTGTACACGTACCTGTGTAGCAGATGAGTAGCGGGCCGTGGACCGAGACGTGGCTGTCTTGGCTGCGCTGTGGGGTCCCTCAGACGGCAGAGCGCCGCAGCACTGGGACTGACGGAAACATTTGCTGTACTCTTTGCGGACCTGCAGAGGAACAAAAGATCAGGACGGGCTGAGCACTCGGAGAGAGACACAACCCCCACGGGAGATGCAAATGCCTAATCTTTGTCAAATCCGGCTGACAGCTGTTTAAATGCCGAATCTGTAAGGACGGGGACAATAACAGACTCTGATAACACGTTGATATCCACTGTGATGCAAGTGTTGCAGAGTATGAATGTATGCAGGGCTGCAGTGCAGTGATTAGATAGATTTGGAAAGAAATAGGAAGTGATATGTTTGAATTTTATGACAGTAAGACTAATGATGATTTCCATTAACATTTAACTGCCGATTATATTCTGAAAGTAATTGCTTGAAAGTTTCCTGAACTAAAGGTGATTTCTTCAAATGTCGTGTTTTGTCAGAACAAAATATCTGAAAACAAAAATAGTAGCTTTCATGATTAATTGATTATGAAAATAATTGCTGAGTGACATTCTCACAATTGAATATTTGATTAATTGACTCAATTATACTGTGATTGAATCAGTCAATTATTTTTGATTAACTCATTATTTGATTCGTCAATAAAATTTGAGAATTTCTAAAGTGATGTTCTTTTCACCCAAAAACCAAAGAATATTGAATTTGCAGAAAATCCTCACATTTTAGAAGCTGGAAGAACCTTTTTTCTGTTTGCATTCATGCTTCAAAAACAACTTGTTGATTAATTCTACCTTTTAAAATCTAAAATGATCAATTAAACAATTCAGAATTTTAGAAGAGCGCCAGAGGAAGAAGTCGTACCTTTTTCTGGAGGAGGCAGTGGAAGATGAAGATGAACATCCCTTGCAGAGTGTTGAAGATGGTGAAGAGGTAAGCCATCACAATGGACGATTCGTTGAGGAAGAACAAGCCAAAGGTCCACGTGAGCCCCAACAGACAAAGCAGGGCAAACGCTCCCAACACCCACGACCTGCGGAAGAAGAAGAAGAAGAGTGATATTAATGAGTGAAACCGCAAAGTTGCAGCAGGTTTCCTCTTTACTCAGTTTGGCGTTTCTCTGCTCTTGGACAGCAGCTTGTTAAAAAAGTAATTAAAGCTATTTTTCTTTTGGTGTATAAACGCTGATACAAAGATTTGGAATGAATGTACATTCGGTATTTGACACCCAGTCCAAAATTATTTCCCTGGTCTTCCTTGGAGTTGTTGGCTTAAAAGCATGCAAACGCAGCAGGTTTTTCCTCGGCGGCTTCCAGGAAATCATAGAGGAAATAAGATAAGTTCACAGTCAATGACGATGGCTGTCCCTTATTGATACACAAGAGAGGAGCCATGCTGAGAGAGCCGCGGTGAGGAGGGAAGAGATGTCAACATGTCACTGAGAGACAGGCCACAGAGAAATAAGAGGGACGGCTGATTAGACTTGCTGCCCAGTTTTTGGTGCTTTTTAAACAAGAATATGTTTGTTGTGGTCTGAACCAATTATTTCACTCTCTTGTTTTTTTATACGAGTTACCACCTTTGACACAGAAACTAATTACATAGCTGATTTAAGGTAGATCCTAATTAATGACAGTTAATGAGTTTGGACTTCTTAAGATGATGGTGTACAATCCAGCATCCAAAAATGTGGGCTTTCTGTGTTCTATAAACAAACCTGAAAAAGCCGATTCAATGCCTTTTTTTTGGGTTTGTTCTGGACCAAAATCAGAGCGGCTGTCTTAAAATCAGGCGCCCACATAACATATGTTGGCTTGCCCTCAAACGCATTGTTGAGCAAGAACCCAGGCACAGAAATGGACGGGGACCTGTCATTTTATCGAGCAACTGCAGGCCACTTGAAGCGGAAAGATGGGGGAGGGGACTTTCCCCCCCATTTTAAATCTTTAAGGCATGTGGTGGAATACGTCTTCCAGAGGAAGCCTGTAAACTATGCCAGCATAGAGGAGCAAATAGATACCGAGAGGTCAGAAATGCAGTTATGAAGAAATAAAAAAGGCAATATAACCCTGCGTCGTGCAAATAGTGAAATCATAAAATGAACTAAAAAGGCACCGTCCATACGGGACGAAATAAAAATCTGGAAGGGGAAAAAATATTGGTTCAGTCGGGTTTAAGAGAAGAGGAAATCAAATAAATGTCTTGGTCAAATGTGGCTTTTGAAATTCCAGAGGGGAAGCAAGAGCAGTAATGGTGCATATTACCTCCACGCCTCCTCACACACACACACACACACACACACACACACACACACACACACACGCACACACACACACACACACACACACGCACACACAGTCTCCGAGCAAGCAAACCACAGAGCGGCCACCTAATCTACCAGAGTTACACCCCTCACCTGATACCCCCCAGCCTGGACGAGTCGGGTTTCATGGAGGTGGAGTGTTTCACCATCTTGAACATCGTCACCACCAGGAAGATGACATTGACCTGTCAAAACAGACGCGTATTAGGGTTAACAGACTGCACTTAGAAAGGCATCCAATTCCTGTTGCTGAAAGCGGATGGACGAAGTACTCAGATCCTTCACCTCAGTCAGAGTACTAGTATCACACTGAATAAATACTCCATTACAAGTAAAAGTCCTGCATTTAAATGCATGAGTAGTAAAAGCATGTCATCAGAAAAGCATTGAAAGAAATAAAATATAAATACTCAATGTAGAAAAGTGTCATAATAGTACATATTATATAATTAGATTATTAATGAGTATTTTACTGTTTACGTTGGTTCATTTTAATTATAAGGCTCCAACTCATGATTACTTTCATCATGGATTAATTTCTCAATTAAACGATTGATCGTTTGTTTTCTAAAAATTCAGAAGCACAATGTTTCTTTTGTCCAACAAACAAAAATAAATACATTTCAAAAGATTAAATATAATTTTCCTAATTGATTATTAACATAATTGAAAGGAGAAGCAGCAAATAATTACATTATCTGAATCAGTAAACCATGAAAAACGGCTATTATAATAATAGTTGTCAATTGATTTTCTGTCAAGCATTGATTAATCAACTAATCGTTTCGGCTCCACTGGTATATCATGTTTCTTCAATCAGTAACAAAAGATCATCTATGAGCTCTTAATCAGTTCTTAGTTTGCTTTTAAATAACCGTAGTAGAGTGCTACATGTACAATATTTCCCTCTGACATGTCGTGGAGTAGAAATATAAAGTGGTATGAAAAAAAAACCAACCTCAGATCTGCACTAAAGTACAGCTCATGTGTGTGTTTGTATTCCACCGCTGGTTCCTACCCCCCGTAGTTATGTGTCCCACTGACTTAAAGTATTGGTTAATCGCCATATAGTGGTTTTGGCTCTATAGTTAGCATCAACACCAGCATACCTTTTACTGGGAGGAATATCAAAATTGAGCGCCTCAGTGCAGATCATAAAGTACATCGACTCCCACAGAGAAAAACAGCAGTGAGAGGTTAACTTCTTTGGTCTACTTCACACAGCTCTGGCCTTTAACATAAGCTGCGTAGAAGGTTCCTCGTCTGGTTTGACATTATAGTCAATATACCGAAGAGAAAACCCTCATCAAATACAAGAATGTATATCTGATGGAGTCCAAACAGACCTGATGTACCACGAAGAAATGCTCCAGAAAAATAGAGAAAAGAAAGAAGTGCCATATTTTAGAAAGAATATTTACTGAAGCCAGGAAAAAAAAATGTTGAGGTGATTCGAGAAATACATCCTGAGAGGTTTCCAAGCTTTCAGGATGACTCTTTCAGCACCGGAGGGCCCGTCGCCACCGCAAGGAAGGAAGGGAGGTGTGCTTCAGTTTGGCCCGATTCCATGTTAAACCTTTGAAATGTACTTCTGTAAATATTGTAAATATAAATGAGAAGCAACTTTACATCTGTGTTTTTACGTTATTAAAAATGTCTATCCGTGTGCGTTTTGAAAGCATGACCAATCGACCACACATGAAGGGAAACAAACAACAAAAAAGTACGAGTTGGCAAGAAAAACAAAGCGGAGTGATCCCAACATAGTCTCAGTTTAACAAATGCTTTCAATTTTTCATACATAAATAAGCAAAAGAGAGCCGCATTATTGCAACATATGGACACATTCTGAAACGGGGCAACAGGAAAAAAAAGGGTCTTCAAACAAAGAGCGTGAGTGGAAAGCAGATGGAAACCAACAACATTAGGGGAAAAGATGGAGGAAAAAAAAAAAGGAGTGGCCAAGAAGACAGAAAGAGGCTTTTAGATACACAGCTTAGAGTAATGCCGAGTTTTGTCTCCAAGCCACCGGGGCTGATGTACGTCCGCATGAGTCGAGTGGCTGGAGATGCATTTAACACAGCATTTAACACGTGATGACACAGATCCGATGAGACGGACGGACGGACGGACAGGGAGGCACTCTGCAGAAAGCTGAGGCAAACTACATACGGACCCCCTCCCTCCCCCTCATGCCTAGTCTCCAAGGGGCCGTCCTCTACAATATTCAGGTTCTCTCACCTCTCTGCCAAAAAAAACCAGCGCTGCCGATGCAGCACTTCTCCCAGTTGTTTTTTCTTGCTGTGTATTTACAGCCTATGGACAGATTTACATGTGTGTTATCATAGGCGCCTGTATGGATACGCAGCACGTGTTTGTTCAGGGCTGCGTGCAGGCATTCCCGCCTGCATGGATGTGCGTGTGTTGTGTGTGTGCATCGAGAACACCCAGTGCACCACATCAAATATTAAAGCGTGAAGATGGAGATGTCCGTGCGCTGGGATTGGCTGGGGACGGGTCGTGATCCTCAGCAGGGCTATGAGCTGTGATAATGGTTGTCTGGCCCATCCACTCATTACTTCCATGTTCAACGCCCCCCAACACCACCATCATCACCCTTGTTTTCCCACTGAGCAAATGACCTTCATGCCTGAGACGATTTCGCCTCTTGATTGCGGAAGGAGAGTATTCTCTAGATGTACAGCAAAGACCAAACAGCTTTGAGTTGTTGCTGCGCACCGATTCTGATTTCAGAGGATTTCATAGCTGAATGGACACTGATGTCCTCGTGTCAGCTATAATGGGACCACTTTACTCTCATGCAAATTGATCTGAGAAAGCAGAGCTAAGAGGGTGCCAGTACAGAGAGAGAGGGAATCTATAAACTGTTTTCAAAGATTTTCTAAGAAAGAAGAAAAAAAAAAGTTATCACACGCGTGCAACAACATTACAGCTTACCACAATTATGAAGGTTACAGGTCCGATGAAGCTCCAGATGAAATGGTTATCTACCCTCAGCCAGCATCTACAGTGGGCAAAAGGTGATATTCACTTCATTAAATCATCTCATTGCCAAAACAGAGTTGTGTCTCATCGATCAGGGCCCGGCAGAGCTGGCTGGATGATACGACAACAGAATAGAGACTCCACCGACCACAGAGAAGAAAACCCGACCTTGAGGGAGTGCTGGCCCCGTGCCACAAGAAGCTGCAGTCTAAAAGGCAGCGGCTATTGCACTCGTGACTTCACGGCCTATAAATGTGGGACGTCTGACTGTGCATACCCAAGACTCTGAACAGTAAACATTGTATTGCAGACAGTCCGAGAATGAATTACACCTCGATCTGTGTTTATCACCAGGAAACAGAAGTGGTGAGGACTACAGCGATAAAATGTGAGGGTGGGAAAAAAAAGCATTTGCTTAAATTCCATAAATTAGAGGATTGCAGTCTTACAAATCATGAAGCTTCCTGCTTGGATGAAGACCAGCGAAGAAGTGCATAAACTTTTAACTGACAAGGGCGGCAATTATCCACATGCAAAGAATAAGAACCCAGCAGGCCAGAGCAGCTCGCCAGCGCATTCATTAAAGCCGCAGCTTTGCTCACAGCCTCCTGAAATTTACACCCTGTCACAGCTGTGTCAGGGTGTAAATTACCAAGGGGGCATAGGTGGACTACTCTTCGTGATATTGCTATCATTAGCACATACATGCATGCTGATTGGGAGAAGGGACGACTAATGCTCCTCATTTCTATATATTTTTATCCCGCAAAAGAAGAATCTCCACAAAGATGTCCCACTTACGCCCGCTGTGTGCCGTAGCTTCTGTAGTCGATGGCGGCCGAGATGCCCACCACCACAGCCGGGATGAGGTACCCAGAGACGTAGTAGTACTTTCTGCGTGAGAACTCGCTCTCGAATACCTCAACCAGCATGAGGTACAGCTGCACGCCCTCCAGACACATCCAGGCGAACGCAGCCAGGAAGCAGAAGTGGAGAACTCCGGCGATGATTGAGCACACCAGCTGACAGGAAGACACATGCAGACATTACACACAAAGGTAAGGAGGCTTCAGAGGGACAGTTTAGGGTTAGTTAAATATGACTTTCCTAGCTACTTATGCTTGATGCTGTTGTTTAGAGATTAAAAGTTTAGGTGACCAGTTAGATCACAATGTCTATGGGATCAAGAATTCCTTAAAGCTGCTCAAATCAATGTTTTTTGAGTTGATCAAATGACTACATGTAATGTAAAAGCTTTTTTTTTTCTTCCCAGCTCAATATTTGGCTGCAGCAGCAGGCAGCTGTTGCTTTGATAAACCTACTGTGCACTACCTGCCTGGAACGCAGACAAACTTAGTGACTAGACGGGGAACACAGCGGAGCATTTAGCTGCCAAAGAGCCAAATATCTCCCTCAGGAGTCCTTAGAGACACAATCAGAGCTGAAATGAGAGCGAACATTAGCCCTACATTTATCAGACAGAAATACTGCTCCAAATGAATGCTAATGTTGCTCCATATCTGCTGAACGTGTAAAGAAGGCAAAAGAAGGCAAACACCTTCATGAGGTGATAAAATGGAAATGTTTAAAAATCTAAATAACAGTATATTTGAGAATGTATCCTAAATGGCACTGATTCATAAAGGTTCAATAAATGAGCGAAGCTAACAGCCAAAAATGGCATACATTATACATACAAAGACGTCCATAAGTTGTCCTCATTCTGGGTAAGCAGAAGAGTACAAAATGTACAATTTCCCAAAAAACAGCTGGTGGGTCCATTGTTAAAATGCACATTGTGCAACCAAGCTTTGTTCAAAGCCATAGAGTTTTACTTTCAGTTTTACTTTAAGTTCCCAAAGTTTCCAAAGATAGAACTGGTGTAGGAGAACTGCGTATGAAATAATGCATGCATAGAATATTTCTATCTGATAAAATGGGGAAGCCTGAAAAACAACAACCAAAAAAACCTTCCTCCTGAGTTTCAATATTTCTCTCACAGTCAGCATCAAAGATCTTCAAGTGTTGGAACAAGCAGATACAGAATATATATATGTGGTATTTTAATCTTTCTTTTTGTTGCCAACATTACAGCCAATCGAAAGAGAAATTCACGTGTTTAAAGGTTAATCACAGCAGATGAGCTCATTCATCAGCAGTGTGGACGCTTAAAACCCTCTGAATCATCATTTCCACGGTACCTTTGGTTCTGTCATGTTGATGCCCACGAGGTAGACGAGCTCGCCGATGAAGAGGTTGAGGCAGAGGTTTTTGTGGATGGTGTTGCGGTCGCTTTGCAGACCTCTGAAGAAGCAGAAGGTGAAGAGGCTGATGGCGAGGCAGACGAGAGACACGGCGATGCCCATCCGCGTGATGACGGTGAGAAGAAGCTCGTGGACGCTCCCATCCCCCTGCAGAGAAACACACACACACACACGTTGTCTTAAAACAATAGTCATGTGCCTGTATGGACATTGAAACAGGGTTCTGCATGCTGTGATCGTGCGACTGTTAAAAATGTCCCTTATTAATGCTTTTTCAATGGAAGAGACAGAGTTTATACTGTATGATCAGACAGATGACGTAGATATCTTCCAAAAGTTCTGTCTTTTCAGCATAAACTCCCTCTGTGTTTCCCTGTTGAGCTGCAGTGGAGGGATGGTAATAAAAACAGTACATGTTTTACAAAAAAAGTCACTAACTTTGGAAGATATCCACTTGACTTTAGTGACTCAGACTGTTGGCGCCTCTGATCAGCTTCAGAGAACCTGTCCTTCAACCTGATGACACGTGGCGCTCAACCTTAACATGCTTTTGATCACATTATGGCGCCCATGTTGCAGAAAGCGACGTCAGTTTGAATAAAACTGCCACAAAGAACCGCGACCACGTGATGCGTCGTCCACATGTGGGTTCTCCTCTTTGAGGTCAAATCACGCCGTGTTTCAGAAAATCTAAAACTGAGCTTGTTTCAAGATGGGAACCAGGCAAATGTGAAAATAGCAGACTTGACCATGCAAAATATCACTTAAGGAACACGGTGGCCCGAAAGTGAGGCAATTCCTCCTGTGATATTTGTAATTTTATTGAGGGCAGGAGTTGCAGTTGAGGTGATGTGCAGGGAATTGGTGTGAGGCTAAGCCGAGCCTCGGGGCTCTGGTTTCGAGCTGTGGTTAAGGTTGAGGTTAAGACAGATGACAGGGACAGCGTTCATGAAATGGGACGTATTATTAAACGAACCACAGACTTATCCTCCACATTTATTGCTGGCTATAGGTCCCCGCTACACATGCCATTTATCATGTAATTGGATTGTAATTGCATTTTGCGACCAAATGGATCCTACACCACTTCAAGAGGGGTGGAAACACAAGTTAAAGCTGAGGATATACTGTTTCCCATGATTCTCTGGGACATACGCATGGAGGAATATTAGACACGGACCATAGGTAAAATATAATTACCTCTGATAATGGTAACGCACTTCCTATCCTGATCCACAATCTCGCTCTTTTAAAGTGACAGCCCGCTTCCTTATCCCCTCCTCCTCCCCCCACCTTTACCTTCTCCTCCAGCAATAATCCAATTACCTCCACTGAAATGCCATTCTTGTTCTTGCCGTGTGTGCACAAATCTGTCAGTGAGACGGAAGAACAACTAAGCGAGACAGAGAAATAGCGCGTGCAAACCACCAGGATGGAGCCACTTACCACGTTTCCCCGGTGAGCCATGAGGATGGCGAAGTTGGTCAAGTGACTGCAGGAGCACGTGGTGTGGCTCTTGTTGGTTCCCAGCAGTTTGCAGCCTTGAGTGGACCAGTATCCCATCATGCTCCGCTCCGAGTAATTCCAGAAGGAACAGTTTGGATTGTAGTAGTGCTCCTTCTAAACAAGACAAACACACAGAGAGAGAAAGAATGATGAAACATACATGAATATACGCTGCAGTATGCATGACTGTACACAAACACACCTTGTATATTTCATATGTCTAGCTGTAAGAAACAGGATGTCAGTGTACCTGGTGTGTAGACTGCTTATGTGTGTTCTACCTATTAGTGTCTGCACAATTTAAGCTTTTTAATTACCATTGATTGTTGAAAGAAAAGGGATGAAGGAATAAAGAAATAAAAAGGTTACTATGGCAGATTCCCAGCCTGCCTCGCTTCTCTAACTCTACTAGTCCCACCGCTCATAATATAGATGCCTTCACTTTACTCCAACCCTTCCTCTACATTCGCTCCGCACTACTAAAGCTTGTGCAGCTGTTTCAGTATTTTGGCAGCCCGGCTCTGCGATGTGGTCCCGGTGAGTCTCAGGAGGAAGCTTACATCCAGGTGCTCCAGTGTGAAGATGACGGGGTCGGCCACGAACACACGGCTGGACTCCTTGGTGATAGAAGCCGACAGGATGTGGGAGTTGACGGTGAGGGAGAGGTTGCGTTTGTTCGGGTCCCCCATTCCCCTCAGAGTGGCGTTCTCGGTGCTGAGGAACTGACCCAGGTGTTTGTAGAGCACAAAAACCAGCTTGGCAACACCTGCAACCGGCAACAATACAATCATGAGACATGCAGAGGGAGCATAAACAAGTGAGTTACAAATGATCTCTTTCGTGAAAAGAGATGTATTCATTCATTGTATGAATGCACCAAACCTTAAAGGAATAGTTCCACATTTTAGGAACAACGCTGATTCCCTTTCTTGACATGCAAAGGTTGAATACACCTTTTCAACTTTGTAATGTCAAACTATTCCTTTAAGGGGCTCATTGCTGCCCCCTGTGTCCATCAAATGACAGACACGGTGGGGCATTGGGGGCAGCATTGAGCCCAATTTGAATTTGCACCATGAGAGCTGGATATGGGAGCCTTGCTGACATTTTTCTCTGCATGACTAATTGAGGTACTGCTACACATAAAGTATAAAAGACATCTCTGCAAGCTTGGCTTTCAATGTGTTGTTTAACTTTAGTGTTGAAACTTGATTTTTAAACACATTCTAATGGCATGTACCATATTCTTGAGTGAAAATTGTGATTTTAAATCTAAACCACACAAGCTATTGTTCTCAATTAACTCAGGATCACATCGCTCTCTTTTGAGATATGATATTTGTTGACAATTTGGGAAAGCAACCAGTGTGGACACCAGAAGTCATTGAAATGGCCGTAAAACAAACTACACCGCGGTCTCATAAGGCTGTAAAGGTGGACTAGTTGGTGTGATGACGTTTTGTAATCTCATTTAGCCACCTGTTAGCAACCAAGTAAAAGCTTCAAAATTCCAGAGAGAGGCATTTACTGATATATTGTAGCACAAAACGTTAAAATCTCTTAACCTTGTGTTAACCACAGACCTTTTCTCAGGCATCAGGCAACCAAAAACCCGTTTAAAAAACCCATCGACTTAGAGACGAGGGGTGCTGGAAATGCCAAAATGCTGACTCATTCCTGCAGAATTCTGTCATGGGTCTTTATCGGCTCCAGCTCCGATCAGCAGTGATGGAAACATCACAGCCGTGTGGACACGCTACCCCCCCCGACCCCCCTATTTCTGTGCAATGGTATGTGACACACGTTGAAGAGCATCAACAGGGATTTGGACAATTATTATATTAACAGTCTCTCCACTGTTCCAACAATCACCAACTCTGGTTTGAGAGTTTAAAGAAAGACAGAATAAGAAGTAACCACCGTAACATTTTCAATAATTCAACAACGTTGAACATGACACAACACAAAACAACACAGAAAGGCACACTGGTCTACTGGCAATGGGAAAACAGTCTATCAGTGTTTAAAAAAGCTGCATATTTGCGCTAAGCTTGGTGGAAAGAGGGTATTACTAAACAACCCCCCAAAAAAAGAAAAGAAAAGCAGAAAATGAACCATGATTCAATGTTTCTGCAGCAACTGCATTCTTCTCACCATTTTTGCTGTTGACCTTGACCGTGTTGGAGGAAAGCTGAAGAGACGCTCCACCCTTGCTTGTCTGAGGAAACCTGAAGTCTTGCACCTGACCGTCGGTGCTCAACACGTACACATCCAACACTGAGAGATAGTAGGAGGTGAGGGGAATGTGAGAGAGAGAGAGAGAGAGAGATGTATTAAACCGTGTTAACATCTCAAAAGCGGTACATGGTGTTTAATAGAGCTCTGCCGCTAAGGCCCGGCAGGGTATGTGTAAAGACTCGAGGTTCATTGTACCAGTAACAGAATCTAATCTTATTGGCAAAACCCTGTAGAGTCATTTACTTAAAAAAAGAATAAAAAACATGTCACTAAGCTGTTGGTTGGCATTGTGAAAGCCTCCGAGGCAGGAGCGAAAGAAAAAAACAACAACAAGGGCGGTGATAGAGGATGAGCAAATGCGAGCATGCAGCCTACTGCAGCATGAATGTCAAATATTCATAGGATCAAAAATATCATTGAGCTTTTACTTTTTACTTTTTCTATCCCCTGTGGGTTCAGATAACTCTGGGCTCGACGAGCAAATCTCTGAAAATCCTCCAAATTCCAGCAGCCCCTCTCTCTCCTGTATGCCAGCTGCCGGGTGGTGCTCCCTTTGATGTGTGAAATTACTGAAGGGTCAGGAGGACACACGTATCAGCACACTCCCTCCCATCAGGAACGGCCTTACTTCCTCAGATAGATGGCTTCTGACAGTCGGAGATGAGGAATTGTTCTCTGGTTGCACTCCCCCCTCCCCCCCTCCTCTGCCTAGTTACTCGCTCTCCCTTTGCTCTCCATCCCTTTTCCCTCGTCTCGCCCTTGTTGCGCACCTGGAGGCGCCGTTTTGCCGTCGACAAACTGCTAATTAGGAGCAACAATCATTTTCACATTTTTCCCCAACTCTTCAAGGGAGGTCAGGTAAGCCGTTTCTCGGAGGTTGTGTGTTTCTTCATATGGCTGTTTTTGTTTTAATGTTTCTCTACTGGAATATTATCTCTGCTGGAGCTTGACGAGCTCATACAAACTGCCTGAATGGCGTGATTAAGTGGCCAAATATACAGCATATTACACACTGTATTAATCAGTGCCTTTGGTAGATATACACAGCAACTAGTCCTTATCAGCTTAGCTAACTACCACTTAATGGGAAAGGCTTAGAGAGAGCCGATAGAGTGCTGTGCGAATGGAATAATGCCATTCAACCAGTTTCTTTGTTTCCCCCCAGAGGTCTGTGCAGTTCATCTTGTAGCACACACTCAATGAGGTGACTTCATATGCAAGAAGACGATTTAAAAACCAATGAGGTATAAGACAAAAAGGGTGAGTGGGAGACCATTACCATAGCAACAAAGAGCTGGAAGAGTAGAAATATGACTTAAATGAATGAGATCATGTTGCTATAAACTGTGTGGAGGACACATTTGCTTTTTTTTCGTTGAGACAAATCATTTATTAAGACATAAGCAAGATGTGGCTATTTTTTAAGACATATTCTCATTAAAAAAATTTAAAAAATCACCCTGACGACAATAGGTGGTGCACGGCCAACAGAATAAGAATAACCCCCAGCATCGTAACGAGTGTGCATGTACTTCTCTCAGTTTTATGGGTTTTTGGAGAGGAACTTACTGATGTTCTCTGCGGGCACTTTTACGATCGCCGGCTCAATCAGGTTTTCGGCAAGGACGAACGCCCCCTCCTCCAGGGTGTCCAGGAGCATTGTGGCGGCGTGCGTTTGTTCCGTGGAATTCATGTCTTTCCAGGATTTCAGAGCTTCCGGCCTCAGGAGGTTGTCAACAGTGTCCACAATTGCCTGTATCCATGGAGATAAAGTGAAATGTCAGCTTGCTGTTTCCCTCCCGTCATAACTTCAATGTAATAACAAAGAGCGGGGACCGGGCAGCAAATGATAAAAAATCAAAATCATAAAAAGAAAAAGGTTGCATGCGTGGCCAACAGTCACACGACTGACACTGAAATATCAAAATCACTTCGACTGAAGACACGAGGGTTCAAGAAAGTCAAGGGCGGCTGAAATAATAATGATCATAAAAAATGCAGCATGTATTATTCAATATTCTGTTTACCAAAAATCTAAGAAGACGCTATTGGACCAATTTCTTTTTTGAATAATGTAAAAGTGCTTTAGGGGAAGAGGAAATAAAAAACAAATGTCTTTTCCCCTTCCCTTCACTGCTGTCTACACAGATGCTTTCTCAATTCCTGGTTTTAAGATGCTATTTTCCAAAAGAACAATTACCACCATGAACAAAACTATTGTTTCCCCGACGGGATTTGCCCATTACGGCCTCGAACACTATTCTCCTGGAGGAAAGTGGGCATTATCCCAGAAATCCATGTCCACAGTGGCAGTTTGAGTCAAGACGGGGGAACATTTCTGCTTGTTTTCAATGGAAATCCTTTCATTTCCTGCTTTCTGATAAGCAGTAAGTAAGCAAAACATTCCACAAAACTCACACAAGTATCATATGTTGACAAAACAAGTTTCCTCTGACCTCGGAAGAGTTCACGGCTCCTGCCCGACACAACAAACCACAACACTGACACTACAGAGATTCAGAATCCAGCTCAACCCTTGGTGTGGTAAATCAGAGTGACAATTTAACCAGAGGTGCCATTAACCACAGCAAGGCCCACTACGAGAACGGTAATTAACGACAACAAGCCCTTGCTCACTGTACCAATTAGTCACAGCTGTGATTATCCAAAACACTAATTGACCACAGACAGGATTATCCGTTTGCCTGGAAAAACAAGAAAGGGGGATCAACCAAAGTCTGCACCAATATATGATTAACCGCAACATTTAACCACTGAGCTCACATTAACCGCAGCGGTGATGACTGTATCCAGACGCAGCGCTCTCAGCGTGTCTCTATATATCTCGGCCTGAGCACAGAAATCAATCTCCGTTGCCCTGACCTTGCAGGCAACTGGAAGCTTGTGAGCTGTGACTATGATAGGAGTTAAGTCGCTCTGTGTGTGTGTGTGTGTGCGTGTGTGTGAGCACGAGAGAGAGCAGTGGCCATTACAGAGTCGGAGACATTACAACCAGACAGACACTAAATGCCCCCCCCCCCACCCGCCCCACCCCTGTGGTGAGCCATCCTCAAAAGGACCCATAAAATCCAAAAGGAGAATAAAAAGTCGCCTGTCTCTAATTTGTGTAGCACAGAAAGATTCCGTGTTCGGACTGAATCCTGGTTAATTCTCTCCTGGTTGGAGGTCACTCTACAAATCACTGGGGTGCTACCAGAGGAGCCTCCACAGCTCGCTGTATAGCCTGAGAAATGAAACAGTGCTGACTTCAAGAGCAACAGCGGGTGAGTAACGGTTAGGGTGACCATATTTTCTAACCCCCGACAGGGGTCCTCAGGTGAAGTTGTTCATGCACCATAGGCATTTTCATAAGGATGGGGGACAGTTACTTCAGCACTAGCACACTTAAATTACAGAGCGAAGCTTTCCACGCCATGGACGGCGCCTCCGCAGACAGAACTTTTTTTTTTTATCTACAAGAATTTAAAAACTATATCATACACTATTAAACACTATTGCATTGGTGTAACAAAATGATTGATTGTTAGACATCTTTTAAAACAAAACACAAGGTAATTACAGACAAATTGTGATTAAGTCCCGCCCACAATGAGGAGGAGAAAGGGTCTTGTGAAGTTCTGAATAAGTTGAATAAAGCATTTTGCGTCTACAGAGGGAGCGGAGCAAGGTTTGATAAATGAACTTAAGTGTTGTCACTTGACTCAGCCTCAGTTTATAAGTTCATAAAAATGATACAGAATCTGGGGGTGTGGAGTTAGGAAGTGAAGTTACCTCTGTGGCCTGTTGCTTATCTCTGCTTCAGGCTAGCAGCATGAGGTGACATCAACCCCTACTAGCATAACACACCCAAATCTAGTCTACATGGTCTCCCTCGAATTGCAGAACTATCATGAGATGGTTGAGGTTAGGCATTGACCTAGAATGGTTGAGGTTAGGGTAAGTCAGAGAGCAGAGAGCCCAGCAAGAGCTTTCACACATTTTCTCAAATCTAGGGTAATCATGTAGACAAGACCCCCAAATATCCGCCTGAACTGTTGCAGTTGCATTTTGGGTAATGTAGTTGCTGGGTTTTGACAAGGAAGAAGAATACGAGGTAAAAAAAAAAAGGATATTTCTGTTTCAGCTGCATCAATTTTGATACCTCTTTAAAACTGTCCATCGTCGGTCTGAGTGCAATGGAAACATGGTGGAGCACTGTTTTAAAACCAAATGTCCTCACAGAGGAGTTAGAGGAAAAGTCAGGGGATCACCAAAGTCTTTAAGATTCATCCTCTGGGCACCATGAATGTCTGATGCAGACTGAAATACCTCAACAACCGTAGCATTGACTGCCATGTAATTCTGTATTTTGTACAAAGTGTTGTACTGATGGTTATAAAGAAACAAAAGACATAAAAACATCCTCGGATGGTTTAGTCAACCCAGAGGTCAGTCACCACATGAAAGCGTAATTATTTCCAATGTATCCATAAAGCCATGCTGCTAGCACGGCTAAAAAAGTCATCTCTAAGTCAGCTGTGGGAAATGTATCACCCTTTTTCTCTCGGTGAAATGAGACCTCAAAGAAAAACAACTCAAACTTGTAGAGAGGCCCCATGAGCCACTGGAAAATACAGAATCTGTTCATTTGTATTATGCCATGCAACGCATGTCCTCCCCAGTGTTTACACCATGCCCTTGTCTTTCAGCAGAACCTACCCGAGGAAATATACTCAACACAGCAAAGGAAAAGCAAAATGTCTGGGGGGAGAAAGACTGAAAAATCAGAATGGAACACAAACATATTAATGGACTCAGAAATTAATCTCACAGATAAAACACAACTGCAATGGGAGAGGAGGCTTTTATTTTTTGCTAAGGGGACAAGGGAGACGAGAAATTGTACAATGTAAGCAAGTGAAAATTGAGCACACTGCCACTTTGATCACACTTCTGGCTGACAGGGAGGTGCAATTACGACCGTGGGAAGGCAATTATTCACACAATGTATGAAGAGCCGACAGGAGAGACAGAGGGAGAGAGAAAAAGAGTGGGGGAGGAAGAAAAGGAGGAGAGAGAAAAAACCGAAAGAAAGATGTACAAGTGATAGCGCACAGAGGACAAAGACGGAGCGATATTGACAGTGGCATCCTCAGATGGAAAGAATGACGGGAGAACAGACAGCCGAGTCAGATGAGGGAGCAGCCACATCTTGTACAAGCAGCAGGTCACCAGGCACAAACCGTAACAGGACAACCAAGGACATGGAGACAGACAGTGCTGCATGCTGCTGGTCAGGCGTTAGAAAACGGGGTACAAAAGCAACACAGAAAGCCTACAGTAGGAGTTATACCTTCATGTACGCCCTGCATGTCTTCTCTCTTTTTTGAAGCTTTTCCACACAATAAGAGGATCACGCACAAGAGACAGATTGTAGAAAGAGGTGGTAAGAACACAGGACGCATTAAATCATGCCACTTACCATTTCAGAATTAATGAAAAGAAGGAAAGGCGCCGGCCTATAAACTACAACCTTGAAATGCTCCGACAGCCTCTAAATGCTATTTGGGGGAATTCTAAATGCGAGTATGGATCACATAGTAGTGAGGGGAGCAGATGAGAAAGCACAGTAGTGTTGAGGGAAAAGATGCTGAGACTAGATTCTGATGCTGCCCACTAGTGATGCTTTAAAATACAAGGAGGAGATAAACAATGCGGGATGAGGTCATTTGTATTTCATGGCATGACGAGAAAAATCGAGTTAAACAAAACAAAAAAAAAAGCCTTTGTTGGTGTCTTGGCATTAACTACGTCGCTGTCTCCTACCTAATTGAGCAAACTGGAGAAAATCACACAGAGTAGCTTTCGCACTGAACAGGAAAACAAAGAGATAAAGTGTTCATTGCATCCAGATTGCAAACCTCCACCATCATAAACACCTCCTGCAAACACATGCAGGAAAATGTTTTTGCAGCCACGACAAGGTTTCTGCCACGGACACCTCCGTGTACCACTTGTTGATAAAGTGGGAGAGGGCTGGATGAAACTTTAAAGAACCATACCAGCGTTTTAGCTCCTTAAATAAAAATCACGTGGGTGTGATTTCTAGTAAAGACAATAAAACCATCGGTTTGGTCCTTTAGCTTCCGTCGATGTTGCTTGTCGTCAGCCAATCACAAGTTCTTATCTTCAATTGCTTCATAGCGAAGTGGCTGTCGTGGACATAAAGGCACAAACAAGGGGCGTGATTTTGGTGCAAATAACCTTTTACCTTTGTTTACACAGCAACTGCTGTCGTGGAAATCTGAATAACAATGTCATTTTTCAAACTGCCACTCATCTCTGCATGGGACTGCCTCTAGCTGAGAGATGTAGGTACGTCTCTCGGGCCTACTCTTTTTTTTTTTTTTGAGGAGTGCCTGTAGAAGCAGTTCCACACTTGTCAGCAATGAAGTTGTTCCTTTGTGCTGGTGGGGGGCTCATGGCCATTAGCTCCTTTAAGAACTGCCAGGTGAGCCGGTAATTACCAAGGGGGCTGTGGAGGAATGAGCTTCCCCTCAGGGCTGGACCTGCCTCCCTATAACCCCCTCACCTGAGGCCGTGCGTGCTCAGTAATGTGGCTGAGTGCGTAGGTTCGTGTGTATTGGTGGGCGCCCCGCTAATGAATGTCCCGAGTCATGCTAAAACAGAGTTGGAGCAAAAAGGGGACAAAGTTAGAGTTTGACAGCACCTTGTTGAAGCTGCGTCCAGCTGAGTCCTTCTCGCTGGGCCTGAGCTCCTGCAGCTGAGCATCCAGGATATCCACGAGCTGCTCCATTAGGCGCACCGAGGAGCTCACGTCACCGGCGAACACCGGGCCCTGCGTGTGGCGCGCCAGCTCGTTGGCTAAATTAGCAGCATTTTCGCCACTTCGGATCTAAAAATAGCAACGAGGAAAACGGGGGGGGGGGATGTCAGTGAAGCGTTCTGCAAGCTGAAGCTGAAATAATGTATCCCGCATACACCTCAGAGTCCTCATCCCTCGCAACATTGCTTGTTCAGAAAGAAAGAAAGAAAGTTATTGTCTGTAGAAAGAATACAAACAAAGGGATTGCATGTTTAGCAGGGAACATAATAGCACAACAGTAACTAACAAGCTGAAGAAAATAAAAACACGGCGGTACCGTGAAAAATAACAAGCTGTCAGTATTCGTCTTCTCATCTGTGATCAGTGAATTCCAACAGTTATTTTGTGATAAAGAGTTTTACTTTTTACACCCAGCATCCTCCAATCAGTCTCAACTGAGCTGTGACCCGATTTATTACTACATACTCATGTTATACAGTATATACCATATGCTTATCTTCACGGGATGACAATTTTGCAATTTTACACACAAAAATCGATTTACTTTTCCATTTTGTACTAAGAGGAAATGAGGCAACACATGCACACACATCAATCCAAATGTGACTTTGGAATTGCACTGCCAATTAAACTTCACAAAGAGCAAGCCAATGCAGCGTTCATGTCACATCACACAGGCCATAATTACGAGTGACTGAGTGGGAACAACATGCATAGCGTTCAGATTCAAAGGTGTAATTCTGAGTCAGATATATCAGACATTTCTGACAGCTGTGTTTTCTACGATTTGTCAGAAAGAGCTACGGAAGTGTCAACAAATCTGTTGGCGAAGCGGCTGCAGAAACCGCTGTCGCTGACAATTACATCTAATTAAAATTCAATATCGATGCAATCAACTCAGCCAACTGTACACTTTCTGTATCTGGTTTCACAAGTTAATGAGAAGATATGTAAAACAATAAATGTATCTAACTGAGACTTAGGTTATTATTAGGTTAGATATGGGGGGAACCATCTTGGAATAATAACTGAGCATTCCTGAATTGGAATGACGTGAGGTTTTCTTATTCTTCTCGTTGCATTAACATGCCGTGGACGCAGCATTAATGTTCTCCCAAAACATATACTTTTTTTTCAAGATCATTCTGAAGCTTTATCATCACCGCTCACGATTTATTTGAATATTTTGCATGTGTGAGGCGCTTATGTATAACAATAGTGTCAACCGCACACTCAAACATCAGGCTGATTTACTGTGGATACTGCCTGGTTCTTTAGTAAACTTTCCTGCGCGTCATTGGTATTGTAGTGAAGTTTGGAAATGGGGCACAGTTCTTCAGTCGGTCACGTCTACATTTCCCAAAATGCCCGCTGCCAGCCCCCAGAAACCCTCTCTGAACCTGCTGCACGTGCGAGTTGTTTTTTCAGGTCAAGAAAAATCTCTTCCTTAGAATGCAATATGTTGCGTGTTTGTGCTGCATTACGGTGCGTGCAGGCTACGGAAACTGGTATCCTGTGCGCCTCCATTAGATTTCTACCTGCATGGCTGCAAAACATCAAAGCAGAAGTGGCAGTGAAGAAATAAGCTCTGGCTCTTTGATTCTCAGTAACCGACTGCAGGACTTGGCATTTAATCCTGATAGCTCATTTCTTTCTGCTCCCACACTGTATTTTAGCAACACTTGGAAAAGAAAACACATTTTCATAATATTTACCCTTGACCACATCTCTGCCGGTATAAGAAAAATAAACCAAGCAAGCAAAAGGTTCACTTGATGTTTGATTTGAGGCACGTACCGTGTTTGTTTGCTGCAAAAATGTTGTAATTGACACATTCCCGTTTTACCTTTTGTGCCACTTGAGTCACCCAGTGGGAGGTGCAGTTGCTGAGGTCTGGGCCTTTGGAGCACCAGGTCCCTGCCACGGTGCAGAGGAAGGAGGCGATGCCTGCAGTACCACACAATAAACACAACAGTTGGTGGGAAGCCAAAGCCTTGCTCAGATACAGTTGCTCCCGCTGATCCCTCATTCACACACACTCTCCGGTGCAGGAAACTCAAACTGCTCGGCAGGAACAAACCACTTCCAAGCAATTTGAAAGGCTGCAAGCTTTGTACAGTCTACACAAAAAGAACAAAAATAAATGTAGAAGGCATACTGAAACATCAGGTTCCTACATAAGCTTGGACAAAATGACAGAAAATAACAATGGACTCAGGTTTGTTGTTGCCTGTAAGCGTTTCAGAAGTGTAAACACTGTATATGCTCTGCATGTCTGGATGAAAATTACTCCTAATGAACGCCACTTCACTGACAACAGCGACAACATACTGTATGTAATCCAAGACGCCTTCCCTTTCCCCCCCCCCACAGTCAAAACATTGTCTCTTTTCCGCTTTCATCCTCCGGTAGCCGTGCTTTGTATTGTGACAGGTCTGTCAGTCTGTGTGATGAGGTGTTACGGTAACTGGTGAGAGACTTCCTGTGCGAGTATCATTGTCAACTGAACTGGCGTAACAGCATCATGTGTCCCTAACTGGTGACAACCTACACTTCCAAAAGTGATTTTTTCAGAAATAACTGTGAATAAACGGTCTGAATGTAATTAAGACAATAAGTAGAGATTGAACGTTGACCGCGCTTCCTATTTTATAAACTTCTCAGATATTGTCCGTCATCTTCATTGCTGTCTGTGAAGGTGATGGAAATGGGCAACAGCATTTTTCTCTCTGCCTGCACTCTCAAAAAGTAAAGAGTTTCAAAATGACACACAAACAGGAGAAATGTTACCAATTTTCGGGGAACTGACAGGCTCTAATCATGCTATATTATGGTTTGAAATTTCCCATGCCCCCTAGCTGAAATGTCAGACTCGGTACACGGAGGCAAAGATGGAAACGGCACATAAACGAACTAAATGAGCACAAATAAAGTGACGGGGCCAATTTAACAGATTTTTGTCAGGGATTTTTGAAGTTTTGTTCCTGATCATTTGTATGCTGAAAGTGTGGTTCTGTGACTCTTTATGAAACACTCAAATCTTAATGGAAAAAGGGAGGAAAAAAGAAAACCCCATTAACCCTGTTTACCTTCTACAGAGCTGTAGTAGTAGCGAATAATAAAGATAATTACAAATAGCTGGACTTACACAAAATGAAAAAATAGCATACTTATACGATCTAATACTAATGGCCGTTTACTTGGAAACACGTGTATGTAGATGTACTTTCATGACCTAGCACTGTCATAAGTAATTAGTAGTAGTGTTAGCAGTTCTATTTAGCGCTAGCATCCTGCAGGCAGAATGATGGGTGGATAAAGGTTTAAAAGAAATCTAAGAATATTAATAGATTATCGTCTACATTAAGTCATTAGATGTCATCGGTATGTATGTATGTATGTATGTATGTATGTATCTATCGGTGGGCCTACCTCTGGTCCCTTTGGGGCAGGGCCTCTCCACAGTGCTCCCAGTGTGGGTCTGGGGCCAGTCGATGGTTCTCCTCCTGGTCGCCTCGCAGATGCGTCTGGGTGTCGGTGGCAGCTCAGGGACGGTGGGCTCTGCTGTACCCGAGCCACGATTTTCCTCATACGGGTCCCTCCCGTCTCTCGGATCTGCGCCCGCTGCAGTGGTGTCGCCCTGCCCCTTCACGGTGGACACGGCCGTGGTGATGAGGACCGTGGTCCTGGGCATGGCCGGCGAGACCGAGAAACCCTCGCTGGTTGGCACTAAGAGTGGGAGAAGAGTGAAGCTGTTGGAGTGCGAGTCATGAATGTCCTTGCCTTGAACTCCCATCGTTTCTAGCAGTGGGGGAACTGCAACTGTTTGGAGTCCCGTGGCTTGTTGGTATTGCTAGAGTTACTGCTGCCCATAATTCTTGGAAATAAAATGCTTCGTGCAGCTTTCAATTGCAACTCTGCACCTTCACTAAACAAAATCAAGTCAAACCTGTCAACACGACACATCCATCTCTGGCTATTTTTAGTGTACTTAAGCCCAAAAATAAGACAAGCAGTGGTGGTGGGGCATCCTTTGACAAAGCAGTGATTTCCTCCCAACAGAGTCCGTACCTTGGGCTGATTAAATGTCAACAATGAAGACAAAGCCTGTCTGCATTTCACTTTTGTTCTGCCTGGTTCATCTCTCTCACTTTGATAAAGCTGATGTGCGGAAAGGAGAACCGCACTGCTCTGGGCGAAAAACATACATCAGCAATAATGCGATTCCAATGTATTCAATCCACGCTTTCCGCTGCGAAGCGAATCTATGTGTGAATGTGCACGCGCACGTGTCCGAGTGCGCTTGTGTTTGCTCCATTGCTCAGGTGTGTTGCTGCTTAAAACGACTGCGTGCACACACGGACGGATGGCTGCTGCAGAGAGCCGGGGAGATAACTAGGAAATGAGAGCAGAAATAGGAAATCTATATACCGTATGAAGTATGAATAGCCAATATGAATAGGAAGAAAACACAGTGAATGTCAATGTGCATGTGTGTCTACACGGATATACTGCTCTCATGTATGAATGATCATACATCTGTTACCCACAACCACCGGATCATATTTAGAGATAAAAGCAGCTTCCCACAATGAGGTCTGCACTATAGTGTTGTCTCCACGTTCCCCGGGTGCTTCTGGGAAAATGCAATATCATGCTATCTGACACTCCATCATCAGACACATATCTCCATTTCCTGAGAGAGAGAAGGGTGACAAAGCCCACATTTCACATTTCACACTAATCAGCCAGTCAGGGGAATCTTTGCTTTTTTCATTCCAGTGAAATATTTATTACAAAGTCGATATCTGGCGACGTGGTCAGGAGGCCAACGGCAGGTTGAAGACTGTGTTCCTGAGGCGCTCGCTATAAGAAAAATAAAGCCCAGACCACCCGACGGTGTTGGCCGAGTTGTGACATTTTGCTCCGTGACCTTCTACCCTGGCAGGAGCCCCCTGCTAATTACCTTTTTACACTTTCATTGTGCGTCTGTAAGCTGCACACTCACAGGTTGGCCAGGCCAGCATGGCAGCTAACGTAACAGCTGACATGTTCGCATTAAAGTGAGCGAATGATGATGAAGTGTTCGGTTAGCACCACAGCTATGAAGGTGTTCAGAATTACGACAAAGAAAGCAAGAAAAGGACCCCAAGATGATGGGAAATGTGAAAAAAAAAAAACAGGATCGCCACAGTCTTATCGTACTTATATATAAAGTACACTGAACTAAACTTATTGAAAGGAGAAAATAACCTATTTCTTTCCCCTAAACAGACAAATAACTCACTTTGTTTAAGAGAAGGGGGTAAACAAGACGTTTTTCAAATTTATGTACTGCCAGCGAAGATTTTTTATTGTCTCAGGAAAAGTGAGATGATTCATAGGCTGACTCTGATGATTCAATATGCGCATATAATGCAATACAAGGGCAAGCATAATTGAGTTTGAAAATATTAAACTTCCCCATACCTGAGCAAACTTTTCCACAGGCTGCTACCCGCCCTTATATGCATTTCCTGAAACAACTTGCTGTCATCACCTGATTAACCTGCTCCCGGGATCATAGTCACGGGTCCAAAGCCCTCTACCACCCACACTTCATCACAGAGGATTACACGGGACAGAGAGGCATTGGGTGGTTTGTGCATCTTTGTCATCTCGGCAAATGCTTTTAGCATATATTATCATTAGGGATTCAATCAATTCAAATCGTAGGTATCGCTCTGTAACGCTGAATATAATAAATTAAAAATATTACTTATTAACAAATTAACAGTCAGGAATGCTCATGAGGACTACGAGTCATCTTTCAAGCCTAAATACTCTGTTCTCTGTTTATCACTTTAACGAGAGCATTTCTGCTGTTTTTCTGTTAATTTAATTGTAAACGTAATCTTTGGGGTTTCAGGCCATTGTTCTAATCAACAAACAACCCATTTGAAGATATCACCTTCAGTTTTTGGGACATTGTAATGGGAATTTTCCTCTATTTTCTGACATTTTAAAGATCAAACGATTAATCTATTGATAGAGAAAATACTTGGCAGATTAAACCAAAATGAAAATAACAGTAAGTGGCCGTCCTAGTCCCCTTTAATCACTCACAAAATCCAGAGGAGATAAAAGCTAATGAATTATACATTATATGTTCTATTACATATCGTATCATTCTATTTTTTTGTCATTTCATGCTGCCAGACACTGTCATTGTCTCTCTCATGTTCACTCTCTCAGGCAGAATCATGAAACACGTCGCTTTCATTAATCCGACTGAGTGATTTAAAAAAAAAATCAAAGACAAGATACGATCTTTGTGGCTATTTACAGTCGGCGTGTCTCGGGCTATCGCAGTGTGGTGTTGAAGGACATCGAGAACATCGAATAAACAGCGTATTTATTTAATACTACATCAAGAAACATGGTTGTCAGATGTCGAAGCATTTGCGGGCTTGTTGTGATGTCTCTGCACCGTGCGCGCGACAATTTTCTTTTGATTGCGCCGAACACATTCCCCTCCAGTAAGAGCCGCGTGTCCTCTGGTAGCACTCAGCCAAGAGAGGGCTGAACCAATTAGCTGCCATTTCTCTCAAGAGGTGGTGAAGTCACTCTTTATGGGCAATCTGACACCAAAGGCATACTGTTGCCATATGCTGAATAATACCTCTTGTAAATAATGGAAGAGTTTGAGATTGAACACTTGAAAAATGGCTGTCAGCGGAGTCGAAACCGGAGTGTGTAAATTAAAACAGAGCTAAAAAAGAAGGGGGGGGGGGACCATTATGCAAGATCATCAATCAAGACGTCAGCGAAGAAGCAGAATTAGTTTTATCACTTTATAGCCCCCCAGAGACATTTAGGAATCTGTGGTGAAGATGACAAAAAAATATGACACCATGATCAGATGATCAGAGATGGATGTTGTTTTTGTCCTTGCTTTTGCAGCTTACACCGCTCCACTAAAAGAGCGTTTTTATCTCAAATTACACACATACAGTCAGAGCAGTAAAAGGGATCTACATGTCCATACAAACGGCAGGATAAATGGATCATAAGCCGCCTAATACCTGCTATTAGGGAAGAGCAATGGCAACTCGCAGCCAAATCAAGCTGTTTCCAATTGGTTTAAATGTTGAAGATGAATCACTTACAAGGCTAATCCTCCCAGCACAATGACAAACAGACAAAAGGAAATATCGAACAGCCAGAGCTCAGTTTGGAAATCATCTCTACTTTGACAGGATCTGTTGAAGGCTGAAAACCAATCAATGTGTGCTCCGGTCTCCTTTCTCTCCCTTGGAAATTAGCTGTCCTCGAACTGAAAAGCAGCTTTTTCAGCTGAAAAGGTGAGCGAGGTTTCTATTGTTGATCCAAATGAGAAAGAAAATCCCTTCTCTTTTTCTTTTTATCTAACCTGAACACAGCGGTGACTGAAAAAACTGGGGCGGACGAGAGGAAAACCAACGTATTGATGGACCTTTCTAGTCGAATTAGTCGAGTTAGTCGAATTAGAAAGTAGTTTAATTTATTTCTCAACGTCCTTCAGATAAACAACTAAATATGTTGTTTTATTACATTTATATTAATGAGCCACCATTAGAATTTGGATTGTTGTTCTTTGGGTCAGATTAGATGTAAAATGTTTATTTACAGCATTGGGTATAACTTGGAAAAATGTAATTAATTACTCGTTACATACCAGTCAAAACTAGCTGGTTCTTGAATGCAGCACATTACCTGTGCAGTGGTGAACTTTAGCATGTCCACTAAAGCGCACAACGTGCAAATTATAAAACGTTTGAAGTTATTAAGAGTGGCGAGAGTTATAATCTGTACTGGCAAAAATAATCACACATTATTGTAACATATTACTAAATTATGCAACACTTAGCTTCTGGTCGGTGGATTTTGTTATCTTTCCAGAGAGACAGGCTAGCTGTTCTCCCCTCTTTCCAGGCTTTATGCTAAGCTAAGCTAACCGGCTGCTGGCTTCATATTGACTGAACAGACTCTAGAGTTGTATTCACCTCCGAGAAAGCGAATAAATGTATTTCCCGAATCGTCCCGAACATTTGCGTAAACCAAACCAACATGTTGAGGCGCTGACGGCGCCCCTTACACCACAATAAGTAAGACGTGGTGTGACTCAGCGTGTGTGGGTCCTCATAGATCTTTATTCATTGTGCATTGGAGCTTGACTCAATAACAAGACTGTCTCAGAGGACAAGAACTGTGTGAGAGCTACAGTTGGTCTTTTTGCCTCTTTACCTAGAGCCAGCGCTGGTAATTAATGACAGAGAAACAAGTCCCAGAAGACATGAATTTTACATTAGGCCATTTATATGCGCTCATGCTGTTCTGCTTCATCCAAGCCTAGTGGACGGGAGCACGCAGCTTTGCATGGAAGGTACGGGGCCACAAGACAATTCATCTGCAGTTTAGTTAACGCCGTTAAATATCTCTTTATCTCGTCTTTACTTCTGCGAAATTAAAAAACTCAAGTCGATGAGAAATTGTTGAGCGGCCTCACCGTTTTATGGACACTTGTTCTTTAAAGGGCGGGTCCATTATTTATTTATTGTTTTGGGTTTTTTGTTTCTGTAGCTTCCAAGTGGTGTTCCAATTGTATTCAAATCCGAACAATCAAATGTTGCCATTTCACCCAAGCCCTTCTAGAAACATTTCCCCATGTATCTCTATATATATCCATGTATATATTCAAGCCTCCCAATAACCGATCGATGCAGCGGTAGACCAGCAACTCCCGTGTTCTGCAAAGTCTGATGACTGTCAATGGAGTCTTGTGGCTTTGAAGAGAGTTTCAATTACCCATCAGAAAAGGCAGACTGATGGCAAGGTAAAGCCATGAAAATATTCTAAATATAGCGTACACTTAAAGTGAGAAATCTTTATATTTTGTTGTTGACTTAAATACGATCTGCTGCTTTTCCACGGCCCTCTCCGATGGGGTACTGAAGACGTTATAACGTTCTCTTCAACGCCACAAGACTCCTCTGACAAAAACAGTAATTTTTACCTTGCAGAACACGGGAGTGTGTACACACAACCCCAACAATATCCACAAGCTTATCGATCAGCTTACTTTGGTAACCGTCGCCACTGCATTTTGCTAACGGATGAGTAGGCGGTCCGGTTTGAAAAACCCGGAAAAGCACGCAGATGGCTTCGACCTTTAAAGAGCAGCAGACAGAAAAAGCTCTGCCGGACATATCCTGTGTCTGCGCGGGGTAATTTATGAGGCCTGAAACTGAGCTCTGTGGAGCAGCAGACATAGCACAGTCACAACTAGACGGTCTCCGAGTCAGAGGACGGTGGCTCACAATAAAGACACATGCATGCAGAAGATATATGTGCAGACAGAAATACACTCAGAGCGAAACCACTCCCAAACTCTCTGTCGTCTACGCCCAGAATGCATACTTAAACAATTCCCTGCCATAATCTCAAATGTGTTGATCCGCGCTCGGCGAGAAGCAGAACAATTAGAGCTCTTGCAAATCTCCTGACTCTTTTACTCCAGCCTCTATTCCTGTTGCCGAACATCCCGCTTCAGAGGGTGGAACACAGGCTTAGTGCATGATACATCTATAAATGTCCTCTGTCTTGACGGCTCACCTGGAGGCGTCGTTCAGGGATATAAAAGCGGCGCAAAGTGCAGCGAGGTGCACAGCTGGGTTTAGCCACAAAATGGCTGAGCAAAAAAACAAACAAAAAAAAAAAAAAAACCACACACTAGTTTTGTGAAGATAGATATCCATCATGTGGCATGCAGGATATGAAATAGTGGTTTTGCTTGACATTTCAATTCAGAGCAGAGCCCACTTGTGCTCACTGCTGCCAGATTACGCCGAGCGGCTAAGCCTTTTGGACAAAGCCATTCATTTTATGGCTCTCGTCTCGTCTTTAAGGCCTCAGATCAATGCTACCTCAAATACAAATTAATTTTCTCCTTTCTCTCCTTGTTAGTTTGAAAGGCTCTCGGCAATTGCTTGCTCCTCTTGATTGTTTGTTTTTTTATTCTTTGGACTGAAATCAGTTAATTCCTTTGCCCATCACAGAGAATACATTACCGGTGTCCCTCCACATTTTCTACCGGCGGGCGCTTTGGCGTGCTTTGTATTGGCATGCACCTCTTCTAGAGAGACCTCTGAGGAGGAGTCTCCAAGTATTGATCATCGCTGGTTTGTGTTCACAATGCATTAGCAGAGGGTAGGCATTTTCTTGAAATGTCTGCGAATTGTTTGGAACAATAAGCGGAAATATCAATATGGGGATAGATCTTAGCTAATGATTTCAACCAGGGCCAGCATTAAGGAACCTGCAGTGTTACAAACACTGCACAAGGTAAAGGAAAATGCAGACAAGTTGCTAAGGTCAATTATGTTCTGCTTTGATCACTTTGCTCAAACTCCCTTATTATAAACCCCTAATCCTGCAGACTCTTCAGCACCTCTCTAGGATGAGCATTACAGTCAAGGTTGATGCCTCTGACAGAAAAGGACACGGCCGCTCATCGTGTTACACGAGTTCTACAACGAAGAGGAATACACTGGGTTTGGTGTAACTTCAGTCCGTGGTCGATGAATCTTAATGGGCACAATTAATTTCTTTTACGCCTCGAGTGCCCCTCAGTTTCAGAGAAAGAGACATTATTTCAGCACCATTAGATTACCCTGCAGAATAGGTTGTTTAATTCAACGCCATATCATGGGCAGCAATAAATCCTAATAGCTTCACAGTAAAGAAGTTAAAGGTGCAGATCTGAAAAAAAGCTAATAAACAAGAACCAATTATTTTCAAGTGCCATTCACAAAGCCCGGTGTGCTGCTGCTGCTGGCCGCGGCATCTTGAGATGCTTCCTCTCTCCTTCTTGAGCGCACAACATTTCAAAATGCTCCCATAAAACACACTTAATGACCCACAGTGACAAGTTCTGCTGCAGGGACGCACTTTTGATTGGATCCCAATAAGGGAACCGCGGACAGAAACGGTTATTTAGAATAATGAATGAAATCAACAACTATGTTCTGTTGGGTTCCTTGATTAAACGCACTGTTCCCAAAGCAAGTGGCAACAATAAGCCTATGTGGCATTTATGTTTACCGAGGCATTACAGTAGCTGAGAGAGCACATTAAACCCTTCATTTGAAAATGCTCTGTGATGGCCACTTTCCTCCTCTCAGAGCCTCTTTTGAGACAAGGAGGGTAATTATGATAATTCAGTTGTTAATTACATTTACATACATCAGGACGTGAACAGTTGAGCAGGCAGTTTGCATGCATGGAGAACTCATTAAAATTTGAGTATTTTTTTTTCATATGTCCTCCAACATACTCGTAATTGAGGCTTCAGCGGAACGGACGCAGACACGCAGCACCCCTCCGAGTGTCGACTTATCCTGCCGGGGAGATTCCAGGGGATGGCAGGAAAACAAACAGACTTGTTGACAAGAGGCCAGAGTTCAGGAGCACACAGCCGCCATTGAGACATCAACGCTACCCCCCCCCATACCCCCCCCTTCAACAGCTCGGGTCAAGAATCAGATTTCCCCCTGGAAAAACCCTCCCGAATATCCAGAAGTTAAAAATCATAACTGAATCCAGACCAGCGCTCGGGGGCAAAACTGAGCTTCTAACATAACTAGAAGTGGGGTCAAGATCCCTTACACCCCCCCAACACTACACCCGGCTCTGCGGGATAAGGTGGCTGCAGTCAGGTAATTAAGCCCATTATCGTCTTAATGTAAGGTCCCCGTCTGATGACACGCATGTCACCTCTGAGCACTTCACAGATTAATCTGAGCCCGGCAAGATTCTTCACTGTAATTGATCTCTTTCCAGCTACTCTGCTGCACTCATTCACCATCTGGTACACAACTCACACACACTTCAGCCTGGTGCTTTTTAAAATATCATGCAACAATGGGATGGCTATTATCTCCTGATCTATTGTAGAAAAAAAAAAAGGGTAGCCATGGCAACACAACTTCAAATGTAAGGTAAGGGGAAGAGGATATCCTCTGTCGCACTGTGCACAATACTTATCAAATGTATTACTAGCATTATTTATTTATTTACATACACATACATACATACATACATACATACATACATACATACATACATACATATATATATATAATGGTTATTAATAATGGTTTCGGATAAGGCCGGAGATTAGAGAATTTGATAGGGTCCAGGCTCCTGCTGGAGTGAGTGCCTCAGCTTGCCTCATGGTAAGAAAGAAACGGGTTTCTGAAGAGGCTCAATCCCACAGGGGGCTATCCCCTCATTCCGAGGTGAATCTGTAATTTCTGTCTGCAAATGAGCCCTTTCCCCAAGACTAACACAACCCTCTTCTCTTCATCACACCTGAGTTGCATCCAAAATTAAAAGGCAGCCATCTGTGACAAGCCACGCTGCAACCACACAATAGAACGCTTACAACGAAGGACGGTGAGTTAAACAAACAACAATGGATGAGGCTCTCACCTTCGGCTGGATCCGGCGGGCCGAAGTCCAGGTCGTAGCGCAGGATGTAAAAGTTATTCCACACGTACAGCTGGTTGTCCCTGGGGTTGTAATCCACAGCAGTGATGTACTGGTACTGGTTGGGGAAGAGGATGTCGGTGTACTCGCCCTGGCTCAGCTTGGTGTTGTAGGTGTAATCGATTTGGCTCCTGCTGGTCTCGCTCTCGTTCTCTTCGTAGGTCGAGCGCACCACGTTGAGCACGCCGCACACCATGAAGGCGTTGGAGGCAGAGCGCTTGTCGTACGCCGTCTCCCACGTGGCCTCAAAGCGCAGGGTGTAGGGGTTGAGCTGGCTCACCACAATGCGCCCATTGTTCTGCTCCGTGGCGTATATTACCCACAAGCCCCTCTCGTCTACCGCCAGGTCAATGTCAGTCTTGCCGCCCCAGCGGTAAGGCGAAGTGTCGTGATAGTTGGCGTTATTGACGATAGCCTCGCCGCTCTTGATGCGAGTGCGCAGGTCAAACTTGACAATGTTGCGAGTGCGCTCCTTGTTGAAGAAGATGGCGCCGTCGTAGGCTACGAAGCCTGTCCCGTCGACGCGGTGCGGCAGTTTGTAGGTGGTCGTCTGGCGACCATTTTTGAAGTCCTCTTGAGAGGCGTACTCGAGGAGGGTGTCGGTGCGGTACGGCGTCCAGGGCATGAAGAAGACTTTGTCTCCGGCCTGCAGCGGGTCTTTGCACCACGACCCCGCTTGCTGCTCTGCCTCGTACAGGAAGGTGGCGTCTCCTACACCCTTCAGAGTCCCGGGACAAATGAAAACTAGTGACAGAGAAGAGAGTGAAACAAAACACAGTGAGCCAACTCATTTCAAACATACATTAAAACATTTGACACGCATCATTCTTGCTGCTGTACAACTGAAGTGCAGGATAAAAGATCAGGGATTGTGAATGTGGAGGAATGTTTTAACTAATGCTTTTGTTCTAGCGCTAATGAATAGGGAAAAAAGGAAAACAAATGAAGGTGTCATAGGATGAGAAATGTGACGTTAACGTGAGCTTGCATCTCAAGGGTCTGCTGCTACATCCTAACAGGGACAAAACAAAATAAAAACCTGAACGAAAAGGGTAAAAATCCTGCAAATGAAAGACATGGAAAATGAGAGGAGTAGAGTTTTTTTAAACACCAGCCTGTCTCTGTCGTCAAATGCCACACGAACAGCTGGGTATACATGGGACACACTGCACATGCATACTGACATGACTGAGGTCGTAAACCAAAATGAGGAGGGAACAGACTTCACATCTCGTGATAAGAGTGAACAACAGGTTGTAGATGGTGGTGGCGGCAGCAAAGCAGAGGTAGAATGAAAGTGGAGGTCGGGGAATAGATCGAACAACAGTGGTAAAGGATTTTCACTACTTCTGTGGCAGAAGACAGGAGGAACCACTGATGGGTGAGAGAGGCCATGGCAAGGTTCCCATTGAGACGGTTATGAATTAATTGGTTCTGGATAAAAAAAAGGGACACAGTGAAATCTTGTTTTTCTTTCAAACTTTCTTTTGTTGTCTTTTTTATTTTTATTTTTTTTTGTTCGTGCCAATCTCACTCAGCCATCACTGCTATTTCACATCACGTGCTAAGGGTGCAGCAGAAGTTGGGCCAAGCAAACTAAGACTACGCCAAATAAGACGCTATACACACACAACTACTCATTCTTCAATGGTTAACACAGAGCTAGGCAAGAGTCCCTGGAACAAATCAACACCCAACAGTTGGTGTTTTCTTTCACATTGGACCGTGGATGTCATTTGAAATTCAGTTTAGAAATTCATTTTGACTCCATGGGTGCAAACAATCCTCCTATGGGTTTAGCATTTGACAGGAGAGGCAATCGGGAGGGGGAGGGGAGACGTGAGGGGAGCTGTACTCAACACCACAGAACAAGGAGCCGGGGGGGGGGGGGGGGGGGGTGGGACCAGACCACTCATTTACCTTTTTGCTCCACTTCTATTTCAGGCATTGGAAAAGAAAGCAAAAAAAGAGTGCAAGAGGGAGAGAAAGGTTATCATGAGTCAACTACCAGGTACAAAGAGAAGAATTAGCTGGAGGATATGACCATGAGATGAACTGCAGGGCTGCTTTGGGAAGAAGAGCTAGAGGGGGGGGGGAGAAAAAAGGTTGTTTTGTCAGTGCAACGTCTTCTCATCCTAGGATATAAAAACAGACAAGTTATGGCTGGAGACAAGCTATGTGCCAATGCTTTCCAGCGCATTAAACTTCTCATTCCTACCGTCTTTAACTGCCAACAAAATAAATGCATTGGCCGAATAAATCCCTCTAAAAGTGCTTCTCCTAAGTGGCAGGAGAAAAGAATAAATATCTCCTGGTCATTTTAGATGGATAACATTGTTAGAGAAACATCACAGGAGTTATTTCTGGCATGTATTGACCCCAGGGTGGAATTTCTTTCAAACTTTATGAACACAAATCAAACTCGCTCGCCCACACACGTAAAACATGACACGATGCTAATGTTACACTCTTAAATGAGCCAAAGAGAGCAGCAGCACATGAGATGACTGATGAGCAGTCGGCCTAATATGGAGTTTCTTTAGTGGACTGTTGACGCTGCATACGCTCTGGGTGGAGAGGGGGAGGCTGGGGGGGAGGAGGCTGGGGACAATATGTGAAAGATTAGAATTTAAAAAAAATGAGAGCACAGAGGTTAGTCGGAGGGGGTAGAACGGGGCAGGAGGTGAAAGGGAAGTCTGTTTGAAAGAAGAGAGAAAGAGGTGAATATCTCTGAAGGTGTTTACAATTCATCAATTTAAATACTAAGTACTTTCACAGGCAGGGATGAAGCCTCAAGCTCATTTTATAAACTACTCTAAAACACCCTTTTAAGGTAGATTAACTCAAATCAGATACTATAGACAAGAGTTTAAAATAGTGCCGGATTCCACCAACTGCACAGTACATTTAATTAAATCATGTTCACTCTGAAACACTAAAGCTGATCCATGACCGTCTGCAGGAATTTGGTTAAACTTTTAGGATTTTTTTATATATCATTTATACTTTTTTCTCAAGAAGTCGGTGCAGTCTGTTTCCACAGGACATGGGTGAATGTAATGTGCTAATGTAAGACCTATAGTCTACCCATTTCTTTGTAATCTCTCCTTCATTACCCCACCAAAGACATCAAATCTAAACACTGTTATTCAAGCCATTTAAAGCATCAGTTCACCCAGTTTCCCCTACTGGTATCCAGTCATGCAGATAGTTTCGGTTGTATTTGCCAAGGTTTGGAAACATCTGCCTCTGAGATTTTCCATCACCATCCAAAATAAATGGAGGTGAATGGAATTTTGTTTGTGCTGTTCACAGCAACAGAGGGGCTATTATTATTTCAGTAGAAAGGTGTTCCAATCAAAAGTGTTCTGTGGATTATCCAGAGAAACAGGAACATTGTTTGTGAAGAAGGTTTTGCTTTTGAATTATTATTTATTTTTTTTAAATGTCATGTTTCATAGTTGTGAGCTCATCAACACAAAAAACACAAATTCCATTTACTTCTGTTGCACTGCGAGCAGAAGTCTAACACAAACTGAGACGCTTTGGAATCTCATTTCGAATTTAATAAGGTTTAGTTTCCAACATTCGTAAGTAACCAAACTTTTGTATCGCTAGAACTCCTAAATGACATTTCTATCTGTATTCACTTACACTAAAACAATACAGTAGACGATTAACGTTCACAACCTGTAGCTTACTTTTCATGAGCTACTTGCTCTAAAAACTGGAGACGGGGCTTAACGTATTGATTGATATGTATAGAAGTTGGTCTTGTTGAACTACAAAAACAACCAGTCAGCTGGCGGCCATAAGGACACGATTCTTCTCCCTCACAAACAATCTTTGGCTGAGTGCAGACTCTGGCTTGCAGCGAGCAGGGTAACCAGACAACAACCAGCAGTTTCATTGAAGCCATTACAGAATTAACATTAATTTACATAAATAACAATAAGGTCCAATAAGGGAGTCTTTAGCCTTTAAGCTTAACGAATCAGGGTATTTTGCCAACCGGGAACCAGATCCAAACAGGAAGCAGCTATCAAAACCCAAACCTAAAGACGAATATTACAAAAGAACTGCACAAATCAAACCTAAACTATCTGCATGGCTGGATTCCACTGGAGGTAAATGAGAAAATACATATTCGTTTTAAATCGTATTTGTAATTTTGGTGAACTGACCCTTAAAACTACTTCAACACTTCATCCGTCATCTTAAATTATCATTATCAAAGCTAGTCCTCCAGGTGAAGTATCATCTGTAAAACAAACAGCACATCTAGTCTACAGACACTTTTAAAAAAGCACACAATAAGAGTTCAGTGTGAGATTTGGATGGCGATACTTACTATAGGGAACACACTCATACTGGACCTCTAAGTACTTGTAGGTGCCAGGGCATGGATCAGGAAAGACATCAGAGCCAGTGACAACCACACACTGCGTACGGTTGTTGCACCTAGAAAAAAAAAAGATTGACCAGAGATTTCATCATGACTACCCACAGCAAGAGCACTCGGCAAAGACAACATTAACAGCAGAGAGCGGGGGGGAAGTTCATTGTCACGGCCACAAAGAAATTGAAGAATTCCCGGCCAGGACTGTCACATATGCATTCTAGCTTACACCTTGGCAAACAGAGAGAGGAATGAAGGCATTAAGGAAGTGTAAATGAATGTAAATGAGTATGTGATAATGAATAAGAGAGCGAGAGAGAGAAGCTAAAGGCATGTTAGGAATTTGCAATGGCATTTCCTTTAACAGCGTCTTCATACCGCTATTGAAAGGGGAAGACATTCATTAAAACACACAGGACAGGTGGCGGTGACATGCAAGTGGACTGGAATGGTTGCTGCTCTGTATATATGTAACAAACAAGACGTGAATGTCTTTCTTTTTATACGAGAGGTTATTTGCCCTCAAGTATGAAATAATGGAAATGGTGAATTGACGGTCTGATGAGTTGATTGCAAAGTTAGCGTGTGTGTGTCTGCAGATGTTTCTGGGCGCTAAAGAAGTTCAAGTAGAGAGGGAGAAGGGGGGGGGGGGGGGGGGGGGGGG